AACAGCTAAAAACCACCACCAGGAGGGGGCTGCCTAAGACACAAGACCCGAGCTACTAAAGAGTTACCGGCCAGCACCACTGCCGGCTAAGTCTCCCCAACTAACATAAGTTTTGTTATTAATGATATTTCCTGGTGATTGATCGAGTCGTAAAAGAAAACACACAATTTACCAGCTCTCAACAGGGTGATAGCGTACACGTTAGCTTTAGGCTTGTGTTAAAGCAATCTCATAAATCTATATGTATTAAAAATAATTCTACCCCTAACCAACAATTAAATCTTTTGAGTCCATTGCGCGGTCGGAGATAGTGTGCGCCGGCCCAGTCATAGTTGACCTATCTGTCATTGATGTTTCAGCAGTAATTTTCTAAAACCCAATGGCAACCTGAAAATTTTTTCATTTTTCACGTTAAAATTTGTATATAAGTTGGAAATTTAATTAAAAGAGCGAGAAATTTATACACTTAGAATACTGTAGGACAAGCGAAAATTAGGTTAATGGCGGTGTAAAATTAGCTGACTACCTGCGGCGTTACACAACACGAGCCGTTAGAAAGGGCGGCTTTGTATGGCAGCTTTTTATTAAAATTGATTTTTGTTAGCAGCATTTGATATATTAATGGTATGCTTCTTATTATTATATTTATTTGCTGCACAAAATCTTCTTGTCAAGATTATTACTCTTTGTGTACTTTTTAGGTCTTACCGTGACTACAATTAAGCCTGGACTAGTTTAATAGGCTTGAAAAATTTAAATAATCTAAAAGAAAAGAATGCTTCCTTCAAAACATGAATAGAATAATAAACTTGTGTATGATAAGTACACTATTAGAACGGTATTGTTTCTAGTATATACTATATTGAGCCCGACAGCTAAGTTTTTTTAAAAACTTTCCTTTTCTAGCAATATTCGCATAAAATAAACTTTAAAAAAATTATGTTCGTAATAATTATAAATTTTTAATATAAAAAATGAACTGCTAATATTTATTTAAAAATTAAATTAATAACAAAAAATGATCCAACTTGTTAAGGCGCTCAAAATTCGGGCTAATTAGGTTATTAAATTATTTTTTTGTACATATATCTTTTATTAAACTTTTTTCTATTTGTGTTTTTTCGGCCTAGAGTACCGAATAAAAATATAAAATTTATATTAGCTCGGCTGGGAGCCTTATCGAAAGAGAAAAGGCCCTACCCTTGGATATCTGAGCTATCCTATCCTATTTCAGTGAGCTAGAGTGTCAAAACATGCATACCTTCCGACGAATTATTCGCTACAACTGAAAGCGTTTCCCTTAAAATGCGGTTAATATTAATAATTTTATTATACATTATCAATTAGTCATCGCTAGTGTAAACTAGAGCAATTAACAACCACCCCTTTCTCTCTTTCTATACCCCATATAAGAGAGGAAACTTTGAGGAGATAATATAGACCAATAGAATTGTTGTGGTGGGTAGCCCCCACTTCGTGGAAGAGGGAGAAGAAAAAATAATTTAAAGCTTATGGAATATATTTTACTATTATAAAGCAGCAGCGTATTAACCAAGTTAAGAAAGTTATGAATGCAGCGAATGTCTTAAAAAGCGAAAACGAAAAAATTGACAAATTTTTCTAGATTGTAGTACACGTAAAGTTTTGTTATATTTGTGGTGGTATTTAATTAGATAAAATCGCCGAAAGGTGCCTTTTGGTGTAAGTACAAGTTCAAAGATCATTAAAATATAATAAGTTATAAGAGGATGTAAAAAGCTTTGGAAGAATGTATGACGGTGCCTCCATTAACTTCTTTTCCATCGCCAGTGTGCTAAGTTTAAATCAGATCAAAAAAAAAATTAATAATCCTCAAACTTAGAAGACTAAGATATCAGGTCGGGGGGTTGTTTTAGGTCCGTATATAATAGAGAGCCTGAACATAATAATTCCGTCCATTTAAGAAAAAATAATTAAAATAAGATGATTTAGTCTGGCCTTTCTGTTTTTGTTTGAACCTTGTTTTATAACCATCCTTCATAGCCTAGAGGATGGCAATCTAGAGAGGCAATCATGAGGTGCTTTCGTTTTAGTCTATCGGGTTAAGGTGCGTGCCTATGGAGGTGAAGATGCTGGTCTATAAGATTAATGAAATGAGTAATAAGACCTAAAATTATACATGGTTTTTTAATTATTACTTAGCACTATACGCTCTTCTAAACAACAAATGGATAATAGACTAAATAAACTCATAAATAATCAAAAGACCCAGCAACTAATGATAAACCTTTATGGAGAATTTATAGTTTTGAACACTTAAACTTAGCTTATTAATTCACTATATATTTATTAAATATTTATCTTTTGTGAACTTTTAACTAAAATATTTTTTTTACTATCACACTCATGTAGATATTTAAGATAAAGTCAACTGCAAACGGGATGTTGTTCTATTATATTTTTATAATACGCTCTTATAGATAGAGTTTAAGTATTTTGTTTGCTTCTTATTTCTTAATTTAATTCTACTTGCTCCCTCCTTGATCTTTTCATATATTTTCTCTACCATTAGTCCCTTTAGCTCTATTCTGATTCAAAATTCGTTTTCATGTTTCCTTAATAAAGTTATCTTTATATTATCCAACCCCAATAATTTGTTTATCACTAACTACATTTTTACTTGAAGACATATCGCTCGTATTTAATTGCTGAATTTTTTGTTAATGTTCGTCAAGCCCTCAGTATTAGCCGCTAGCTCCCGTTTATCAGGAAATTCTAATACCACTTACGATGGCTTACACACACACCTATCGATCGATTACTGACAAAAAAACTCAGTTAAGTACCATAGGACGCACACTATCGCCGCACGGAGTGTACTTTATGTATTTTTTTATTTACGGAATTGAACTAGAAGTAAAAAAATGTATATATAGGTATGAGGTTGCTTTAACAAGAGCTTACATAGTTTGTACGCTATTACCCTAATGAGAGCTTATAAGATCGGTGTTTTTTTAAACCGATCGAGCACCAAAATATGCCATTTATAATATAAACATTATAACCGGCATGCTCGCCAGGTATTTTAGTGACACATTTTTACATGTATGGCTTTGCTGGAAGGTATGAAATCTTTGTGACCATTCATCGCATTATACTCAAATACAGGGACTAATGCACAATTACTTCGCGTAAGGCTAACATAAATTAATAAGAATGTTTTTTTAGACCTTGGATTAGTCAGATTTACCAACCCAGACTTAAATTTCCTCTAGGGTTACGAAATTTGCTTATGGGTAAGTCGTTGACTGGAGCAAACGCTCAAGTCAGCAAGTTTTCTTAATCAGGACAGACTTGTTCTGAGCATTTTCAACAGAATATTACCTTCTTATAATACATACTTTAATCTAAAGTATAATATACTCTTCTTTAATAAGTTGTAATAAATTGTAAAAGATAAACTAATAGAATATAGAGGAAAATATGCAGCGTTAAAAAGGAGTTTTTTAACCCAGCACATCGTCACCAAGTTAATTAATTCATGAACACCGCTTTACTAGTAAACTCTATATCAGTTACGGAAATAAAAATTTACTAGAAACCAGCTTAATTATTCAATTTTAGCTCGAGTTATCATTTCATATAACAAAAGTATTAGTTTCGTAGATAAGCTGCCCTAAACATCATGGTACACCTTAGAATTATGAGGTTCTCATGTGTGCTTTTTACAAGTAACCTTACAAAGCGGTTTGTAAGTGCAATGCTCTAAAAAAAAATTTATGCCTTGATATCCACTATATTTAAAAAGGTTTTGAGTAAATATGGTTATTAAAGTCTATTTAAAGACGTTTAGTAAACTATTTCTTTGTTGTTTCACCATTAAGAGCAGGTTGATAAAGTTGTGCATTTATGGATAACTTAATAAATTCTTTATGAAAGTATGACAGTCCAAATTAAAAAGTATTTATTTACAGTTATTAAACCTCACGGCTTTGAAAATTTAGTACCAAGTTAACAGCTCCTCTAACGCTGCAGCCTAAGGAAGACCAGCAATGGCGATCTACGGGTGTATGAAAAAAGAATCACTTTAGCTTGTTTTGTCTTTCTATATTAGTATGTTTAATTAAAAAACTAACCAATAAATTATTATTATTTATGATAAACATTTAGCGCGAAGAAATTTAGTACTATTGTTTCGAGAACTAAAAATTATCAAACAGGGGATTACGGCTTATTAAGTTAGCTAGTAATATATAAATTTCTTGCTGTTCCCTTCGGTGCTTTTAATTCTCTCTATGCTAAAATCCATTTGCTTTAATCGTTTTTTTTTAATATTTTATTACAGAACGGAATTTGTAGATAAACTTTTAAAAAAGTATAAATCTGGTTACTTCCCTTCGATCCCTTTGGCCCTCTATTTCTAAATGATAATAATTGAAACTTAACTTGGTTTTTATAGTCAACAAGTAAACTATTTATTTTTAGATACCTAATCTTTTTAATTTAAAAGGAGCCCCTCAAAGATTATAAGATTTTAAAAAAATTTATAAAAGTTCTGTATTTTAAAGAAAAGCATAGCATGCTTTTTGTTCGCCTTTTTAAGTTATTGAAAATTGTTTACTTTAAAGAACGAATGAACCTTTATACTACTCGGTAACTACAGTATTTATAGGTTCCTCATAAAAAACGACTTTGTGCAATATTATTAACTTTTAAAAATATATTTTTTTGTATACATTTAAACTTGGTGAACTTTCACTATTTGTATGTTTTAGACATTTACAGACCTTAGGTATTTTTTGCTTTAGCAAGGTTATGTGTGGTGAGATGCATGGATGTGTAACACGGGCTTTAACCAAAACCATCACAGTTATAAGTCATAAAGTAAAAATAAGTTAGCCTCTTTAAGGCTTCTTTATTTTAGTCGCTCACGGGAATTTTGTTTATTTAGAACAAAGACTTTACTAGAAACAGTAGCACTATTATAATTAGACAAAAAGTGGACCTTTCCACCCTTTTTGTACTACACCTCATGATTTACGCTTTACTGTTTTACGTGGGAGGATCTTCTCAAGTTAACTTTAAAAAAGGTATTGTTTGTTATTTAAGGAATGTGCCTCAATGCATGCGACAGATATTTCCATCTAGAACCCAGAAATTTTAAAAGCCCTCTTACATGTCCCTCTGGGGCATATTTAAGCGGACAAAATTGTGTTGGTTAAAGCTGTGCAGTTAATTCATTGCTACACGGCTAAATGGTAAATATTTTTAGACTGTTTCTGCAACGGCCAGTCTACGCGCTGCAATAATGAGACTGGCCAGTGCTTCTGCGGAGTTGGTTCTACAGGATTCAACTGCTCCATGTGTTTTTCTAATTACTTTGAAGGTGACCCCACAAAAGAAGGGGGCCATTGCTATTGTAATATCATATTTCATTTGCTTTTGAGTCACTAACTTACTGGTTATAGTTTTGGCCTCTGGGAACACTATATACGAACTAACTCTTACTCAGGAAGTTCCCAAAAGGTATTATAGATTCTATCCGCCACGACGGCTGAAAGGTGTAAACATCACCTTTAGTTCCTCTGGAAAGGTTGTATTATGGGGAAGTGTTCTTATTATTAGTTATAATACGACATTTGCTAAAAACAGAATTTCGAAAGCAAAGTTTTGTTAACGCTAATTGCTACAAATGAATATGGAAAAACGAATACAATTGTCTTTCAAGAAGTGAGCTTTTATTCCGAATATATTTCTTACGATAGAGCTTTTGCGAATGCTCCGCCCCTCTCCTTCGACCTTGAACTTCTTCTGGCTAGCCCTCATGAGAATGATGCAGTAGATGCCATATTGTTGTGTTCGTATAACTTACCTGAAAAAAGTGTTGCTCAGCTGTTAATTCCTTTTTTTCTAATTTTTTTCGGATCTACCCTGTTAAGTACTTTTATTATTTTTTATTTTACTTTAAAGGATTTTTTTATTTATAAACAAAAAAGTTCTTCTTTGCTTTAAGATATGTGTTTATTATGATACTCGTCGGAGGAAAATAAAACGAAAGCGACTAACGAAAGCCTTAATGAGACGTCCGTATTCTTCTCTAGCAGTTAATAACGAGTTGACACCTTCAACTGTGAGCCTTGAGTATTTAAAAGACAATGAAACGGCAATTAAGACGATACTTATTGGTAGGCACTTCAATAAATATAAAACAAAAGGATTTTAACTACCCAATTACTTAAGAGCTTCCTGCATCAGCCGACCTTCGCTTTTTGGCTTTTGGTTGTTCTTTGGTTACTGTTGCAGAAGGTAAATACCAAGACAACGCTGTTTTCGCTATACTTTTCAAAATGCACATCTTAGCCATTGTGTTGTATAGCTATTTATTATAGTTTCTTAGTTCTTTTTAATGTTTTTATTAGATTCATAGGGCACTTAAAATTTAAAAACTTCAAATTATGGCCTACTATTTTAGCTTAATTCTCCACATTTATTAGTTTTCTGACTCTCTACTAATAATAAAAGCTACCATCTTATTAAGCTAGATCCCTTTCGAAGCGTTATTTAATTTTTATCCTTAGTTAATTTTGTAAACTCGGGAAATGGCAGAGTACTAAAACCTGATATTTTTAGTATTATAAAAAAATTATTATGGAAGGGCTTACCAACGCGAGTGCTTTACATTAACTATTGCGAATTGTAAACGAACGCAAATTGTAAACGAACTAATCCAAGGATAATGCCTGGTAACTCGCTTATATCAACGTGAAACTCACTATTTTGAATTAGTATAAGCTAATAGGGCTAGAGATAGTCTGTATTGTTATTGTAAAGTGGATTTTATAGTATTTTTTACTAGATTATTACTGGCGCCTAATAGAAAGTGAACCTTTTAGCAACTAAATTCAAAAAATATATATTTTTGATAGCTAATAACAAGGAAACAAGGAGTATTAAACAAACTTGGAGTACATAGCTTGTATAGCCTGTAAAAACGGGAGCTATTTCTGCTTACATGTGCGAAGATTTATGATTAACTTAAAAAATGGCAAATAAATAAGCTTATAATATGAAATAGGCTTAGACCAATAACTCGGACGGCAAGCTTTTTATTAAAAATTATAAAAATTGTCTGAAATATATCCCTTCAGTAGTTTTAAGAAAGGCATAGAACCGAAGAAATAGATACAGCTTGATAACAATCAATAAAAATAAAGCTTGTTTTTAGTTTTAGAGAACGAAATTCCCCTAGAGCTAATAAACTTGTTGGTAAAATAAAATTTTTTACTACCACATTTTTTTATTAATAAAAGTTTTTATATCACCTCCATTGTCAGCTTTTATTTGAATAAAAAGCGACGAAAATTTAATAATAGCCCCTTTCACGCCGAAACAAAATAAAGTACAATATTTACAAAAAACGACATAATACCCATCGAAAATAAAACATAATAGGATAAAGTAAAAAATACTATAAGTTCTCACGTGCACCTAATTTATGTTCCTTTATAGAAAAAAAAAAACACTAGAAAAGCGAGGAAGCAGAACAGTTGAACTGAGCCGGAAATGAACCTTGCAGCTCTTAAAGTTTTATTATCTAGTGTTGTTTTTTACGTTATTCCTTGCTGATCTAGAGTTTGTATTATAAATATGTTACAAACGAAGAAATAATAGGTTTAACACCTTAACTATAAGCCGACACAACGGTGTCTTCACTTTCAGGTTTGCTCGTTGAATCAATATTCTCCCAGGACCAACTGTCCATTTGAAGGACGCAAAGTTTATAACTTTTTGCAAGAACTAGTAAATGGGCGGTTAAAACTCAATTTTTTGACTTGGAGAATGCAAATTCTTGAATTTTGTTTCGAAGTTACCGTCTAAAATTCGGTGATAAATGCAGCTTTTCGAATTTAAACTTATAACCACTAAAGGCTAATAAAAACGTGAGACAAAGACGTGGAGCGGCGCGAGAAATCGGTACCTAGAGCCGTTCGCCACTGCTGAGGCCTGAGCTCAAGAACTCTGCGAGGCGCTCATATCCCATGCGCAAAAATAACTAAGTTTTTAAATTAAGTAGGCTATAACTTTTTTGCATCACAGGCTAACGTAACTGTTTCTTTGACTTTTATTAATAAAAATGTTGATGAATTATTTTACTATGCATTTAACTGTCTATTTACTTCTACAATCCACAAAAAATACACTTAATTTAATATATTTCTAAGTACGGAGCTAAGGAGGATAAAAATTACTAAAGTAATGAATTACTCCAAGATTATATCTATTTTCTTAAAATTTTACCTTAATACAAGTATTAGAGCCTATTTAATGTATCTACTACGCTCACGCCCTCTTTCTCAAATACTATTGAAAAGGGTACAAAGGTAGGCTATAAAGACAAAAGACCAGAAGAGCCCGAAAGTGAGTGTAAAGATAGTCAAACCACTAAAAGTGACTAACGAGATATAACGGTAGGAAGCTTTTTTTTTAAAAACAATATTTCGACAGCGTTTTTTCCCTTAAATAATTAATAAAATGTGGAAAAGTTTTATTGGCATCTAACAAGTAGTATTTTTTAGGGACACTGAACTTTCTCATTTATAATAAAAACTGCGGACTTGTGAACGACTTAAAGCAATTTACTAAGCAGCATCAAAGGTAAGATTAAAAAATTAACAAAACAAATTACAGCTGGCTCAAGAAAGTTTTAAGTCTTTATTCCCCGTTTTTAATTATTTGAGTCTTTCTAATTACTAAAGTTTTCTTAATAATTTATGTTTACTACGAAAAAGTAATTCTTTATCCGCTCCGATTGCCTAGTGTCGTCTAAAGGGATACGCAGTGTGAATTAAGTGTTCGAAAGGTTGCTTCGAGAGTTTTTAAATACAGTATCCTATGTTTGATTATTAAAATTTTTTATCACTTGAGCTTTAGTTCTTAATTATTTAGATTTACTACGCAACAGTAGTCTTCTATAAGCCCTTATAGCCTAGTGTCCTATAAATGAGTTTGGGCGTTAATAAAATATTAGGAGCTAAATGGTTTGAGCGTTATATACCATGTGCCGTGTGTTTAATGTTCTAAAGTAAATGTTTGCTAAAATATACCATTTCGCCGCGCACTAGCTATAAATCGATTTAAATTTTTGATACAAGGCTTAATATTATAAACATTTGTTATGAATTGTATATATAGTTCTACTTATAATTAGATTTAAACCTACACCATTGGAATTCGTGTCGAGACAAAGTACTACATTTTAGTATTTAACTTTTTAATTTAGTCACGGGGCTCGTCCGGCTAGGTAAAGGCCACAGTACATAGGAAACTAAAGGATTTAAAAAAAAAGAGATAGTTTTAAAAACTCGAAGAATTAATCTCCTAGTTATTATTTTTTGTATAATACGTTTTGCCTCTTAACCAAGGCAGCACTAACACCGCTATCGTTTTAAAACTATTGTTATTAATGATGTTGACGCCTCCATAATTTTGATCAGTGCTGCAAAGTTAATTTTACTGGAACTCGAGTTGCTTTAAATCATAACTGCTTTGAGATGGCTAGTAAAAACTTGAGTTATAATTTTGCTATGAGCTTTTTATTTAAAAAATGGCTAGAGTAACAAAGTAATCTTAATAACACTTTTCTTAATAGTCTTCATAATCTAGCGTGAAGTACTTTAACTCAATAGAAATTAAGATAAAAATATTGTCTTTTGAACGACTATACAGTACAGCGTGTAATAACTTTAAGAAAAATTAAACAATCAAAACATTCTCCTGGTGATTTTACTTGTTAACGACGAGAATTTCCGGGACCAGAGAAGAGTATAATATAAAACAAAGAATATGGCTAATTTTTATATTTAATAACAATATCCTTAAGAATAGGTCCCGGAGTTAGGCACAAACCACAGATCTACCTGACCATTAATAAGCTAAAATAGTACTTTATTAGCCTTGACAGTGAATCAAACTTTTAATGATAAAAAATAATGTTTACTTATAAGATTACGTTTCAACAAACCAACTCCAGCGCTCTCTAGCTTTTGTTCTTCTACTATCTATATTGAATCGCATAGGAGACGAAATAATTTATTTAGATGGTCGAAAATTTTTATTTTTTTTCTATTGAAAGACAAGCAAGGCTATCTAATAAAGTTCTAAAGATTTTGGAGGTTATAGAGGAAGTTATATATTGCTTAGAAGAATTTAAAGTTGATGCCTGCCGTTTAGAGATGGCTTGACCCTTTTATTTTCCATAACTCCATGGCAATTTCTGAGCCCTTAACGAGTATAATTGAAAGCTGTTATAAGATTAACTTAATAGTTAGAAATTACTTTAATAGCACTGGAAACGTAAAGATCCCTAATAAAACTTTCCGGAAAATCCACAATTTCAAAAACCCTCGCGCATAAAAACTGATTCCCCTCGGTAAAAGTAAACTTTTTCGAGAAATTAAAAGTAAAAAAAAAATGGACGTTTTGAAAAAAATGCTTGTTTTACCTTTTCAGATTCCGCTTCTGTCAATGCCTGGCGTAAAGCTTCCTCTATGGTACTAAATTCCAGTGCATTCGGAGGAGAGGCTGGAACGAAAATCACTAACCCCCTAAAAATAAGTAGAAAAGTTGAACAGGAAGGTAACCATATAAAATACAAACCTAGTTATGTAAAAGAATAGAGTTGTACTTTAGCCCCAAGTCCATGTGAGCAAGCACCAACTGAGCTATATCGGTAATGCTTGTCGAATGCATAGTAGAGAGAGCCCTTCCCCCACTATTAAAGCAGCCGAAGACGGGCAAATCCTTAGTATTTCCGTAGGTGGCAGTTGTGACGCTTGCAGTGGCTAAATATTATTTCAAAAAGAAAAAAAAACTACTACAACTATAAAGAAATGTCATACTAAGAAATTGCATTGTTTTGTCTAAGTGGACAGTTGGTCCTAAGCCAGAGCAAACAACGCTAACAGAGTTGCGGCCTATTTCAGGAATAGAAGAACTAATGGCATAAGTCCCCTCGCTGTTTGCATTCCGTTGTACACCGTTGAGACTGCCGGTTACTGCGATTTTTATTCCAAGAAAGTCTATAGGAAAACGATAAGTAAAAGGTTAACATAAGTTGATCATATAGTTAAAGAGAACTTGCAACAGATAAGGCCGCAGAAAGAGTAGTGCGCACAGTAGTCTTATTAACGAGTGCTGTGGATAAATCCATTCGAGATGCTTCTGACTGGTACAATTCCATATTAGCTAACCGTTCCATTTCCAGTTCAGTTAGCCCAAGAGTTAACTTCAAGATTAAAAACAAATAAATACTGCAACGTTTATATTTGATAACAAAAGTGCCTTTCCGTCAATAACGGCGAGGGGAACTGGAACTGCGCCCATAGTTTTTATAGTTTTTAGTGTCTCATTTGCAATAGCTAAGTTACCGGGATAACTTACTGTTCTAGACAAGATAGTAGTGTCCAAACAAACTAACGGTTTCATTGTGTTGTGCAGAACATCGAGTATTTCATCTTTTACACTAAAAAACTTATTACTTTTAATATTACAAGCACTAAGCGCGGATGAACTCAAAAAACGCTTTATTTGCAAAAAGTTTGGGTTCCACCTGGTGAACATTTTTAGGACAGGCAAATATGAGTTATACTAAATAAATCAAAAATTAACTATGTATTGCGTAAAAAGTGTAGTGTTAGCCGGCGAGCGTGAACCACGCTAGTATTATTGCTGAGGCTAAACCCTTATTACCTTTTGCTCCAGTTATAACTTTAGCGTAATCTCAATATGGGAGAGTTATTCCGATCAGAAAATTTTTGCTTGATTGAGTTAATAGTGCCTTCTAATATAGTATATGAGGCTGTTGGTCTCACCGGAGAGTTAGGCTGGCTTCAGTATAAAGATGTTATATTTTATCATACGTACTTCTAGCTTATATATTGCTCCCTACTCTGGTAGCTACCTACATCCTTACGTTTTCCTTTATGCTATATGTCTCTAGTTGAATAGCGATGTTAGTCAATTTCAAAGGAACTTTGTGAGAGAAATTCGAAAGTGCGAAGATTTAGAGCGGATATTAAGTAATTTTTCACATGTCTTTTTTGTTAAAACGACTATATTCTTTTGAGGGATCGAAATTTATATGTTTTAAAAAAAATTTTGTATTATTTTACGGTAGTTATTTAAAATTTTTTATTAGAACATTTTGCTATGGCTATGGAGTCGCATAAGTTGTGCAGAAATTCTGACCTCCTCATTGATTTAGATGCAGAAGAAAAGGTAATGGTTTCTAAAAAATATATGAATTTGACCTTATCTATAAAAAAAATTTCGAAGTATGCTTTTCCTCTTCTTTACGAGATCGATGAGTTGGAGCAACGGCTTTATGATTTAGAGGTAGCTTCGCTATGAGTAACTACTATCTTATTCACCTTAATATTCTAATGTTGTAAACAATAATCCTTAAGAAAACCTTGAAACAAGCCGAAGAGAATGAACAATCGTTACTAGAGGAACTGACAAATCTGCAGGAGTTTCAAAGTGTTTTAGAGGGTTCCTTTCTCTTTTTAAGTGGTACGGAGAGGTAAATTTTCTTTTTATTGTGTCTTATAACAATTTTAGCTGAAAGTGATAAAAGAAGTTGATCACATATATTAATCTCTTTTTAGAATTTTTCTTCCTTCTGCTTTGTATTGCTTTCCCGACAATAAATGCGATTCTGGGTCACCGGCACTAAGATTCGGGTCTTTAACGATTTCCAACTTTTTTATTCAATCATTAGCAAAGCTCGCAACGATGCACAGGTGTATTGCAGGAGTGATTGAATTATCTAAGAAAACTTCCTTTGAAAGATTACTATGGCGCATCTGCCGCGGAAGTGCCTTTTTAAGAATCTGCAACTCCCAATCTGTAAACTTTGCTGCTTACTACAGCCATCGCTCCTTTTTACAGGATTGCCCATCAGCTGGGAGGAGTTCAGAAGAGCGTCTTTGTAGTGTTTTTCCAGGGCACTTTACTTGGCGAGAGAATCCGCCGCGCTTGTGACGGCTTCGGAGCCAAACTGTATGCCTGCCCTGAGTCCGCTAATGAACGCTCTGCTCTTCTTAAGCACGTGAAAACAAGTTTATACGACCTCGAAATGGTTTTTGTTTGTGACCTGTAGTGGAACTGCTTTTTGCTTTAGCGCGATCCCGAGGGAATCGGCAGTTAAAGAAAATTTCGTTTTTTCTACAAAGATTTTTCACTTTTTTCGTGTTGAGAAGTTTTTGTGACCAAATAACCGACTTTTTATAGATATACTTTGTATTAAGGTTCTACAGAGGACTGTAGATCACAAACTTATGCTTCTTACGAATATTAAAGAGCGTTATGAAGGCTGGTTTGTTGCCTTGAAAAAGGTATTAATGACGGCTGACTAAGTTTAAGAAATACGCCAAACTGTTTCCCTCTTTTTTGAGCCTGCAGGTCAAGTCTACCTACTTTGTTCTAAATACGTTCAATTACGACGTCACCAACTCCGCACTAATTGGCGAGGCGTGGTGTCCCGTCGCTAGATTACCTGCTGTTTACAACGCCATGGAAAAAGTTCGGGTGAATAGTTTTTCTTTTGTCTTTTTAGTGGTATACTCGCTTCTTTATTTTTGTCTTTTTAGAAAAGAGCCGGAAACCCAACGCCGATTATACTTAAGCAAAAGATCACCAAAGAGCAGCCCCCACTTTGTACCTGACCAACAAGTTTACTAACGCCTTTCAAGTCCTTCCATTATTTTTTCCCCTCCATCCTTTATTTCCTTGAAATTCGCAAACGCGTTAGGCCATTGTTGACGCGTACGGTGTTGCGTCCTACAAGGAAGTCAATCCCGGTTAGTTTTCAAATAATTAATATTTTGTAGTTTATGAGGATGTCCCTTTATAGCTTTATTTACGCTGGTGTCTTTCCCTTTCCTTTTCGGTATAATGTTTGGCGATGTGGGTCATGGCGCGGTGATGACTATCTTTGGCGCTTGGATGTGCATTAGAGAGAAGTCGCTCCGCACGAAAAGGGGCGCCGGAGAGGTTCTTCTGTTTAATAACTATTATTGCAAGGGGCAGTTATAGGTAAAGAGGTTTGTCTATGCGTGCCTGTTGGATGCAACAACCAACGATATCATGAAAGAAAAAAAAAATTTTTTTATTGTTGTGGCTTTGTAGCTGGGGTATTACGAATGGGTTTTATTCCAACCCACTGCTCTATGAAGTCATGCTGACTTTCCACCATTTATGGTTAGTTTTGGGACACTGCTTTCTCCGGCCGCTACATAATCCTTTTAATGGGGTTTGTTCGTCCTATTAGTAGCCCTTCTGTTGGCGTAATTTTCTTCTTTCCCTCGAGGTTGTTTTCGATGTATGCTGGTTTCATCTACAACGATATCTTCTCCAAGGCCATGTGGCTCTTTAGTTCGGCTTACTACTTGCCTACGGAAGCAATTGACAGTGGTTGGTTTGCCTCTTCCACTGCCAGACGGCTTGCAGCGGAACATAAGACTTGATCTCATTCGTCATGTATTGGCAGACCACATCGTATTACCCACAAACAAAACGAACTCCTCGCATGCTTCACCAGGTTGTCCGTCCGGCTGCGGTTTTAACGGAAGTCCTTACCCATTTGGACTTGATCCAGTATTATGCGGATAATTAAGATTATTTAACGATGACCGAATAAACTTTGTGTAGGTTTGGGCTCTGGCTGCTAACAAATTGGCCTTTTTAAACTCCTTCAAGATGAAAATGTCTGTGATTGTTGGTGTGGTGCACATGCTCGTCGCCATTTTCTTGAATGTTTTCAACCATTCTTTCTTCAAAAATAAACTAAAGTACACATTTTAAAATAAGTATTTGCTGTCATCAAGTTTATACACGTTATCCTAGCCTTTTTATTTCTTTGCCTCGTTAGATAACTATTGTTTAACTCCGCAGGATTTATTGCGAGACTATTCCTCAGTTTTTATTCATGGCTTCAATTTTTGGTTATTTGTGCGCGCTTATCATCAGCAAGTACGGTTCTCAGCTAAATACTAACCTCTCCCCCCTCCCCCCCTTCCTCCCCTGTGATGGTTTGGGGAAAGGGCTAGGGTCCTTGCGCCCCCTCCCTGTTTGTGTATACCTGACAATGTTACCGCAAACTCATCATAGCTTCTCTTTTATCATATGCACTAGATGGCTCAATTCTTATCCTCCTTTTCATGGGGGTGGACAGACTGATCCATCCCTTCTTGTAGTGCTAATCTCCATGTTTTTATCGCCGAATGATATTTCATACGGCTCGCGGACGTATATGTACAGGGGACAGGTCTTCTTTGAGAATAAGCCGTTTCTTCCAATGACATGAGAGCTATGGCTTGTCAGAGCGTTATTCAGAAGATACTCGTGGCCACTGCTGTCCTATGCGTGCCATGGATGCTACTCTCGCATATCCTGGTCCAGAAGTTTCGCCAGAAACTGACTTCATCGAGGGTAACAATTGCGATATTTATACGACGCCGTTTTCATTAATTTACAACCTAATACAGGCCTACAACCAGTTAGAAAACATCTCCAATTACGAACTTGGAGTTTTCTTGGTGGGCAATGTAGTGCGCGACTTAACAATTTTTATTAACTTGCTTTAGAACTGTGAAAATGAGGCTGAAGGCAACAGCGAGATCGGGTTATTCGTGCAGGAGCCGGTCAATGCTGCCGACGAAAGTCATTGCGGCCCTCCCGAGGTAACTGGGCTTTTCCATTGTAGAGAATCTTCCCACCCACCAGTAAAATTCCTTAATTACTGCCCGAGAAAGCTGTTGAAGCTGTTTTCCTACTTGTACTTGTATACGCTGTAGAAAAAAACATTCTATAACTTTATTTTGATTTAATGCCCACCATCCAATAGGGCAGATTTGGAGAAATTTTAGTGAACCGGGCCATCCACACTATTGAATTTTGTCTTGGAGCCGTATCAAACACTGCATCGTACCTCCGCTTGTGGGCATTATCATTGGCCCACGCACAGGTAAAAGATCTTTAGTGAGAAAGTAGGATTACACTGATGCGCTTAAAAGCTTTCCGAAGTTTTATGGACTATGGTTTTGCGGCCAGCCTTCACAAAAAGCTTTATCGTGCTTTACATTGCTTTCTTCATATGGGCAACACTCTCGGTTTTTGTTTTGGTAATTATGGAAGGGCTCTCGGCCTTCCTTCATGCACTACGCCTGCACTGGTGCGCAACTTCTAAGTACAGATAAGCGATACGATCCAATCCTACTGACTTTGCAGGGTGGAGTTTCAGAACAAATTTTATGAGGGGGGCGGCCACGCCTTCGCTCCATTTTCCTTCAAAACAGCCGTCCACCAAACGGCCGCGTGACGATCACTACCCGTACCTAATAAAAGAAGCCACGACTTATAAAGTAAAAACTTTATTTGTTGCCGAACTTCCTTAAATTGGGTGAGCGCTTTGGCATGTCCGTAAACGTTGACAAGTCGGCCAAAGGCACCATGGAAGGACGGCCGTGGGCACACTGAAAAGGCAAACTGCACTTTGAGAAAAAGAAGTAGTGCAACCAAGGAGGATAGGCTCACAAAAAAAGTTACTCGTGAAAGAGAGTCAAGAAGGCGCGCGCACTCTGCATAGTCCAGCTTATCGCCAAATTTAATGGCACCTAAGAAAAAAGGTCTTGTAAGGCCAAAGTGCGAGAAAGATTCTTTGGGCACTTGAACGCTTACCTCTGCAGGAAAGTCTGTTAAGAACATCGAGAAAGCACCGCGGTATCGTGCCTGCTATACCGCAAAGGGACCTCATTGTCTGTATAAGTTCATGCACAGCGGTCTAAAAAAAAAGAAGACAATAGGTCTACTAAAAAAATTTGCAACGGCTCAAAACTACTAAACTTTTAATAGCGAAGTGACAGAGTCAGAGTCAATAGAACTGATGAAGACTTCCGAGACTTCTGTGATTTCAAGAGCCCTCAAGCACCAGATGGATGAGAGAAGGAAAAAGGTATGTGGTTAACGTAAAAACAACCCACTTCCCCTCGCGTTAGAGAAAACCCCCCACTTTTCCAGTTCCCTAGAGTACATATTCAGGGATCCAACATCACAACCCCGCAGGTCGTCCACCAGTAAGGGAGGGTCCAGCAACACAGTGCATATTTCTTTTTGGTGGACGAGCTCGAAGTAGTTTTCAAGCCGAATCTCAAGCCGGAAACAGTATAACAACGCTCGCACACCAAAACGGCCCAAAGATAATACTGCACCCGCTCGTGCGCAGCATGCTGATCAACAAACACGAGCAGGTCCATTGGTTCTGAGCGGTCTCCAGTAGGGTCAGTATAGGCCATTCTACACGCGATGAACTTCTTATCGACCTGGCGAAGCACTCGGGCACTCTTTAACATCTCCTATTTTGCGCAGGATTAAAAAAGCATTCTAATAATCGCGTTAGAAAATTGATCACCTTATGAAACTGAACGGGAACCCCTACTAAGTTCTTAGAATGACGAGGTTGGCCAATAAACGCAAAGGTAGGGTTCACCCAGTTTCTAAACAATTCCACGACAGTTTTTCCAGAGGCGTCGGAACTCTCCGGAGGAGCACCCGCAGACTTTGTACGGCCCCAGTCACCTGCTGTGTGAGAAGAACAGTTCCTTGGCTTACAAGGCGAGTGGTTGCGTTTATCTTCAAAGCTAAACAAAGATGAAAGCGTTAATCTACTGTTTCAGGTGAGGAAAAGATCGCACCACTTATTTATGCAACTTCTATAAATGGCAAAGTCGCTCAAAAAGCCAAACTTTTTTTCAGATATTTTCTCTGCAACATAGAGTTTTGTTGCCTTTCCTGTAACTTCTCTACGAATAGTAGTAGCGTCGTTGCTATGCGGGCGATAGTCAATTACAAGAGGTTGCGGTGTTACGGGGAGCAACCGCTAACTTTAGTGGGTCTCCGCTTTCTACCGAATTACGATGGGAACAGGTATTATAAGCTTTACAAAAGTGTGAAACGTGAACGTTCCTGCAAAGCCCACAAAGTTCTTAAATACCTGCACTATCCCTCTTGACTATTAAGTCCTGAGGAATATTTCTATACGCAATTGGAATAAAAACGATAATAAAAATAATAATGTCTACCCATTGGCTAAGGTATCACTAAATGTGGGAGAACAATTCATCAGTAAATCTTTTGAGTTAAAAAACTGGAGTAACGACTCCCGAAAGAAGCGCAACGCCGGGCTCCAATCCTGAGCCGGCGAGACAAATATGGGTAAAACACTGCAATTAAATAAACACTCGCAAGCAAAATGCAAGAGCTTTCAGGCGGTCAGCAGCAACATTAGTTCTGCCACGCTAAGACAAATTAGGCACCTTGAACTCTACCGTCACTCTAGCCGGCTCAAAGCCAATATCAACTTCGCACGGAGAACAGGAGAAGTTCAACACATAGACTCCTAATAAAAGAATAATTCAGAATTACGTTTTGCTAATAAAAATGCTGATTATACTGAACCCACCAAACACGTTTTCCCTGCCTCCCGGCTGAACATGAGCCCAGCGACTCCCTGCTGAATTTTTAAACTTACTGCGGTCATGTAGCGAAATCAGTGGGTCACCAATCGCTGTGTGATCGAAGATGCGATCGAGAAGACGGTGAAACTGAGATTTTTGGACGAGTCTGCTATTCACATATAAAAACTGAAATTCCTTAGAATAGTAGCCTGTAGAGCACACAATCCCCTTAATACGTGGAAGAGTGCGTGTTACAAAGGGGTAGTGAAAAATAAACGCGCCATAGGTTACCGAAAGAGCATAGCGGTCACATGCCTCCGCCAGCTCATAGAACTCGCAACTGCATAAAAGCTTTAAATTTCCATAAAGAAGCCTAAAAAAGCAAACATACAATGAACAGACTTATCACTGATCGCTTTAACAATTATAAGCTTGTAACTCTGAAAAAAAGAACCCAATAAACCTAAATAATAATCTTTTGGGGTCTTTATAAAAAAAAACTTTATGCAACAACGCTATTAGGTACATTAAAGCCAAACTTCCTTGTACGCAGGCTACCTGAATGCTAATTTCTTGCTCTCGCATCTTTTAGTTTTTAAGATCTCCTGAACAGCGAACCGGTTAACTGCAGGTAAGTTTGGTAGTTATACATATATTACTTGAGAGTTGACTTCATCCTTCAGAATAATCGTCAAATAAGGCCGAATTAAGTATAGACCTTCAAGTCTTTTGCTAAGACTTTCGATCTCTATTAGCTCTACAAGTCTTTTCTGTCTGACCTGTAAAGACTTTGTTAGGGAAAGTAAAAGATATTTACTTGCCACAGACAATATTATAATAAAATTAAACATACTTCAACGTTTAAATAAAGTGCATATAAAAAATATTTAAACATGCAGCAGTAATAGGCCGGGAAAATACAATGTTTAGAGAGAAATGATAAATCTGTAAAAAATATGTATATTTTTAAATTCTAATAAAAAAAGTAAAATGTTTACTGTTTTACTTTTGCCACGGAAGTAAATATATAATAAAAATGTGAAAAATATAATTTATAATAAATATGAGGCAATGCTATTGACAATTCGAAAAATACCACAACTAAAAGTAAGGAATAACCGGAAGACTGTGTAAAAAATTGTGGACACGCACGGTGGACCCGACGGAAGATCTCTTCTTTACAGATGGGCCTAAAAATAGTACGCAACCATCTTGGAATATTTTTGAATATGTGGTAAAGCTGTTCGAGCTACGGCTAATAATTTCCAAAGTAGATGTTTCTATAATTAATATTACGCATAAGTGCACGTTTAATACATTCAATCCTAAACATTTACTGACGTATTACCTTTTAAACTTGCTAGCGCTTCACCTCTAAAGCCCAACGTAGTGAGGTTCTTTAAGTCTTCTAACTTTCTAATTTTGCTTGTAGCTAGATTTAACATAAAGAAAAAGTGCAAAGCTAAGCTATATACAAAGTAAGTTCATAAATAAAATAATTACCGTAGCGCTCACCAATTAATGAAAAATCTTCTTCTTCTATACCGAAACCGTTATCGGAGACTTCAAAACTTAAAGTACTAAAATTTACGGTAATAGATATAGAAGTAGCTCCAGCATCTATGGCTATTTGAGTAAAAAAGTATTTGGTAATCTGTGTAGTATATAGAATGGTCTATTTCTAAAAATGAACTTACCATTAAAAACAACTTCCTCAACTGCCTGTGCGTAGGTGCAGATTGACAAACTTGAACGTAGGAGAGAGGCTGTTTTAAGATCTAACTCTCTAATACTATTCATGAACTACAAGGCTTTTATTTTATAAGAGTAAACGCATGAGCTAAAATAATTAACTATAAATACTTTAAAAAATTGGTTTTACTACTTGTAAAATGTTAGAGCTATTAAATATTAAAAAGGGATATTTTAACTTCCTATGGCTATCCATGCGAGGAAGGGGGGTCAAGCAGAGAAACACTGAGAGGCGCTGGTACCAGTACGAATATAAAAGGTCATGTGGAGTTGGTCACAGTAAACCGATAATCGGTACCCACCTAACCCAAATAATTTCCGTCGTGCTTAATATAGCCCTAATTACAGTAAATTTTTTATTCTTCTAGATTGTAGAAACCTAGAAAATCAGTTATTGTCTAAGTAAAAAGCTTATTTTAACTTCAGATTATATACTGAAACTTAAAAAACTTTTAGCCGTGGCATATACACCAACTAATAGAGTATGTCTTTATGTAATAAAGAAAAATGTGAAGATATTGGAAGTACGGGTGATAACTTTAAAAAACTTTTAGATACCCCAGTTGGAAACAGTACTTTAGATATTGAAACTTTTCTAACCGATCCAACTACCACGGAAGTATGTTATTTAAAAGAATTTTTTCCTTCAAAACTTGATGAACGCTTTAAAGAAGCCCAACCAGAGAGGTTAGCAAGTGAGGTAAACTTTGAAGTCCAGAGAAACAGCAACTTTTTGTTAAAGAATAAATTTAAGCGATCTAATGCACAAAAAAGTTATCGGAAGTCACCGATGCTACACAAAAATTTATCTTGTAAGACTACTTTCGAATTCGTTGTTCGTATTCATTTTGTTAACGTTTTTTTTTACTTTATCTCGGTTTACTCTTTCTAGCTTGTCGACTTTTTTTTAAAGCAATTGAAGAAAAAAAGTTTTTTAAAGGTTATGTTATTATAACATATTTTTAATAATTGTTTTAACCAACATATCAATATATAAGTAAAGCATTTACTACAAGATGGTGTAAGCCCTAATATCTGTGATTCAAAAAGACGCTCAGCCCTGCACGTAGCGGTTGTCTCTGGTTCTTATGAAATAGGTTACGTACTAATTAATGTACCGATTATTTTATTTAAGATATAGTTTTAACTCCTCAACTTTTTAGTTAAACTTCTTCTTGTCTTTGGCTGTAATCCCAATCACACTGACTATATTGGAAATACTGCCTTACACTTAGGTTCGAGTTAACTTTGAACTTCTACTATAATAATTTATTTAATTTACTAAATAGCGTCTATAACCGGAAATATTAATGTAATCACGTTGTTACTACAGTTTGGTAACTTATACCTTTTTAAAAATAATTATATTATATTTTTTTATTTTTTGATTAATTGTAACGTATATTGTATAATATATATACGAATTGTATAAATACAGTATCTGCAGTAAGTTTTTATTGCCTAAATTAAGCTTGAGATCCTAACAAATCTTTAATTCGGGCCGTCATACTAAGAGATATTCCTTTTTAAATTTGTAAAGGATCTCACTCTATGTTATAACCGGCCTGTAAGCTACACATTGTTCAAAGAACTGTTTTTCCTGCAGGCGCTTCACCGATGCTGAAGGATCAAAATAACTGGCTTCCTATTCACTACGCCCGGTCGAGAATGAGGTACCTCTCAAAGGTGCAGGCCGATCAAAATAATTTTATAGAAGTAAGCAGTACTGTCATCCTTACTGCCATTTACTTAGATTTTAAGGAAGCGAAAGGGAATTTTAGTTTTATAAGATTGTACTTACCGTCTCCATTTATCAGTTTAAACTTTTTGTATATTTATTGTCTTTATATTTGGTGTTCTTCGAGATTTTCGAGTTGTTGCAAGTTTATGCAGAGAAGATTGGAAATGGGGCCAGGACGGACGAAATTAGCGGATTGGCAGAAAGTTTATCTTCCTTAAGTACAGAGGAACTTCCGGACGTGCTAGCGAACTTTTCTCGACTGTCTTTTGGAGAATCTGTGGATGAGGACGGCAATAAGCGTACACTACACGTCACTGCTCTCCGACGGTTTATTATCAATAATTATTTTTTTTTACAAGTAGGCGCTCCGGGCATCCCCATAACTGAAAAGGAGCTGTAGTATAAACTTTTATGGAGAGTATCATATTGGCTCTTTGCGTGTTAAAAAATAACCTTTAGTGCGCTTCACTCGCCGTTTCTTGTACAATGCGCGTGGTTGTTATTTAAAGAGTAAAGAACTTTTTGTGTTTTAGGAGTTATATACTTTGAAAAGAGTATTATATTTCTTTTAAAGCTTTAACTTTTAGTTCTGCCCTACATCTGGTTTCTCTGCTGGTTTTAACTTCTTTTTTTATTAAAGAAATTATTAATCTATTAACTTTGAAATTGTGGCATAGTGTACACCTATAATACTGTTATAAACTCATTTTATTTATAAAACAAAAAGTGTTTAAGGCTTACCACCTAAAGTAAGGTTCTAATTCTGTTACCTTCTTTATATTAAAGCTCCTTTTTCTTACTTCTCTTTGTTCCCTCTTTAGCTACTGTTTCCAGTTCCTAAGTTCCAATTCTATTCAAGCGCTTAGTTATAAATTTTATTCTAGTCTGCGCACAGTTTTACTTAGTTATGCCATAGCTCCAAGCTTGTTCTAAAATCGACATCTATGATTCTACTACTTTAATTTCTAAAAAGTTTAAATGTAGGCGCTTCCAATCTTCAGCAAATCTTACGTCTTTAGAGTCGCAACACATACGTTCAGGGAAATTTGTTATTATAGTTATTCTTATCGAAGTATTGATTAAAACGGTATTTGAAAAACATAAATCGCTAAGCTATTACCATTAAAAGTACTAAAAAACCAGTAAACGCAGAAGTGAATAAATGTGATTATCTTTTGGATATTTCTAAATTACTGATTTGTAAAATATTTCAACTGCAAGTTACGTAGCTTTAACAAATTATTTTACTAGTACGAGTTATGTTATGTATGCATATTGCCATAATTACCGTTAGTAAAGCTTTAGGATAACGCCTTGGTCTCACTAAAGAAATAATTAAATTAACATTACAACTTAGTAACTTTGGTTAAAGAGACTTGGTTATATTTATATATTAAATTTTGATTTTCTTGATGAAGGCAAACTATAAGAAATACTATCAAAATCTTTTTGGTTTTACTGTAAAGTTGACTGTATAGCAATAACAATAATAATAAAATAACTGCTTAAAACTATTAATCTCCAAGCTAATAGAATGATACCTTAGCTTATACAGGCCAATTCTTCGCACAACTTCCATAGTTAAAGTTAGCATTCTCGTTTGTCATGATGGTGTTTGCTAAAAGTGTAGCTAACTTTAGCGTTAATTATTCTTTTAAATAGTGTTATTACCCAGTATATATAAGTATATGCGCGCATCGTAAAAGTCTGCAGAGACAGAAAGAAAAGGTTTGCTGGCCATTGCTAGATTACCCACCACGTTAAAAAGTGGATGCCCACCTAAAGGGGTCAATATATGATTTATTAAGGAAACGAGCCCTACAGGAGTCACGCAGGGGCTCAGTTCATAATTGCAGTGGTGATCTTTATTGTTTCTGGATACAGCGGGTCATGTTGCGTTTGTAGGTTCTGCCCGCTTAGCAAGTACTGAGGTATTCTTGGGGGTAGTGCTACAAACATTCCCTGTTTTTAAGTTCTTTTCGTAAAAATTCATTTCAGGATTCTCCTCCTTTGTCTGTTCTTATTTCTTTAATGATGGCAGGGCTGATATTTCCTTTTATCGTCAGTTTCTTAGCTCCATTGATTAAATTTTTTATCCCACTTAATTTTTATTATATATTCTAAAAACGTGTTCTGATTTTGCATCTGTACCGACGGCGGAACCTTTTTATGTACACCCTTGCCTGCTTTTGTGTAATGGATGTAGTTACTTTGATATCCACTACTACTCCTACTAATAATATTAATATCAACTTTTTGTAAATACTCACACCATTATATTTATCCTTGTTCTCACAACTAGCGCCAGAGAACAAACACTAAAATTACTCCTTTATATTACTATATAGCCTCAGTATTAGTCAAAGCCTTTATCTATGGCCCCTCATTTAAAACTTACCAACTTTTTATACTATAAGATTACTAGTGTTTCCTTCAGCTACGGTAAAAGGAGGAACTTATTAGATACCAAATTAAGCCAAAGAAAAATCGCGGGTCATATATACCGATCCATTTACTGTGGCTAGAAACTGAGTATAAGACTTACCAGTGCCAGCGCCTCTGAACCCTACTCTTCACGTTTAGCTTTTTTTCGATTTCTATCATTGAAAGTTTTTATATTAGAAATGCTAACTCTTCCATTATCGCTATATCACCTAATATTTCAACTGCTGTTACCACTAGTTTTATTTGTACCTACCATTATTTCCTTATTAAAATATTATTACCCAAAAGTTGTTGAATATCACTATTACTTTAGGTAACCCTTCATTTTCCCAAAAGTCTCTTGTCCAGTTTTTCTATTTTTTTTTTCAGACCGCGCGTGCTATAGGTTGAGGTCAGCTTAGTTCTTATTCGAACACAAACTACAATCTGCGTCACTCGTTTCAGTTTACTCTTAGCTTTAATTAGTAACGTTAAGTCGTCCTAAGAGGGGGTTTTAAAATAAGTTCTAATGTTTTCTGATAGTTATGAGACTACTGGCACCTTCAAAATAGTCCAAGAACGTTTATTAAGAATTGCCTTAATTACATTTGAGGTTGACACAATAGAAGAATATGTTTTAACTAACCGTCTCTCTTACTCCAATCTACCTAGTAAAAGAGAGGGTAAGTACTTACTTTAAGCCAAATTTTTGAGACTTTAATTTTCTACTTGGGAAAACTTTAGGGGCACAAATTAATATAACGAAAGCAGAATCACAATTTGGTTTTTTTCTTGCTCAACGCCTCGATAAATTTAAAAAGGATAAGAAAAAAAAGTTAAATAAAAAAAAAGGTTATGTTACCTTTAGATGGCTTCTGTTCAACTCTTAATGCATGCCATACAGGAAAATTTTATAACCAACAACAACAATATTTATTGAATCAAAAGCGTGTAGAAGCTAAAGAATTCAAGAAAAAGGCTCAGGGACTAAAATTATCTATGAAAAGCATTGATAATGCCCTAACATTGTTGTCGGATCGTACCTTCAAAGATCCAACGCCCTATAAAGTTGTCAACAAAAAGAAACCGAGCCTTATAGCTTTTACTCCCAATGCCGTTTTTCCAGCTTTTCGTATAATATTTTACTTAATTCTTTGAATGTATATTATATATAACTTACCAGAAATTAACAAGAGATTGCTAAACTGTCAAAATGAAATTGAAGAGATGTTCTGCTCACGCGCGGTACTTGTAACTTATTTATGGTTAAAGGTCTCCTCTACTTTTTCATATTGATAGGTTTCTCGTTTCTCCTTTAGAGGTTTAGGAACACGAAGTAGGTTATATAATTTTTATTAAGGTAGCCTTAAAATTTCAATTCACTATAGAACTTCGTTATTGAGGACCTGTTTAACACTCCCAGAGAATTCATGGCCTAAATTTGCTAACTCAGGGCTATTCATGGAGGTTATTAATCGAGAAAAAGGTCTTTTCATTTACATAGTATACCCTAAACGTAATTCACTTCGACTTTTTATTGTAGACTTAATAACGTTTCGCTTTCGCCATAAAAGGGAATATGCCGAAATGCAAAGACGGTTTTTTTCGGCTGTAGTAACTCTTGATCCTCAAATTTTTAAAGGTTTTGATTATATAGTTAAGATATTACAAATTTTATTTACCCATAGCTACTATCCACGTTCAGACGATATTCTACTGTATAAATAGTGTAATTATAGGGAACCTTTGTAAACTTGGCGAACATATTTACACACTACTAGTAATATCACTATTTATACAGTATCATTTCATAGTACCAATGTTCCCTATTCTTGTCTGGGTCAGTCTGAGTCGTGGATAATAGTTGAGAGTCAGGGGCCGTTTATATTGGTATTTGGATTTCAAGGGGTTAGTAATCCTTCCGCCTTCAATTCATTGAGCGGAAGGCTTGGTATTAACAGAGTGGCAAAACGCTTTGCTCGTAACCCTTGTTATATGAGGTGTAAATTCTTTATAGACTTAGTAGAAGACAGCACCTTAAAACAACTGACTTACCGAGCTTAACTGATGTTGAAACTTATGAGTTTTTATCACCTTTTCTTATTAGCCTATCTATAGAAATACTATTGGTAATGCCATATCACGTGGATACTCTGCTACATTTGTCTGAATTTTCTCGCGCGCAGAGTAACGAACAAGATGCTATTGCCCTCAATGGTTTTTATTGTCACAATATTTTACTAAGTGCCTATCTTTTCGATGAATCTGTTATAGATAGGGCTCTTTACACCCTAGAACTCTCGTTACATGCTTCTTTCAATTTGGCAACGTCCACTTGCCGCCTCCCGTATAAATATTATGAAAACAGGTCAATGTTATAACCACGCGTGTATCTTTGAGTATTTAACAGTCACACACTTCGGTGACGCATTTTTAGGGCCATGCACATTGCGTTATTTCGTCGCATTGACAGCTTAAACCACAAAGGTATCGCGTACGTGTATTTAGCGGTGCGACTGAAGCTTTCTTGTCTATATTTATACCAAGTTCTTTACTCCTTGGGGTATTGCCTTTTAGGTTGCCATAAGACGGCCTTGGAAACTTGTAAACTACTGCTCTCACTGGATGAGGGTGACCCAATGGGATGCTTACTAATGCTCGATTTTTATGCTATTAAAGCCAAATCTTATCACTTTCTGAAACTCTTTTACGGTTTTTAAGTCCAATAAGACTTCTTTGTACTATTTATATTGGTTGTCAAAAACTAGAAACTTGGAAAGAAAAAAAGTCACTTGATCTACTGCCAAACTTTAATTATTCGTTGGCCTTAGCCGAATTTTTATTAGAAAAAGAAGAAATGGTAAACCGCGAACTTTTCTTACGCCTACCTAATACCCTTTACTACGCTTGGCGTACCACAGGCATCCCAAGAAGTAGCTGATCTTGATGCTCTTTCATCGAGCAAACAGGTGCTGCCCTTGCCTTTTTCTTAGTTGCATGAACTGCTATCTTTAGTTGTCGTTTTCGCACAGTTGCAACGAGCTCTCTTGCTTTTTCCTGGAGTTGCTTTACCCTTATTTGAAAAGGCTTGTTTTATTTTCAAGTTCACCACTAACTAAAGCGATGGCGTTCTTTAGTGTGGCTTTCGTCTTAAGCGGTCATGCAGTGACCATTCCTACTTCAAAAGGCCCGCTCTTCAGGAAACCAGTCAGCACTCTGTCAGGCTCCTTGAAGGTTTATACGTAATAAGAGCCCATTCTCTTTGGGGTACGGGAGAGGTAACGCACAGCAGAGTGAGAATTCTTTTTTTTCCAAACTCTCCCGTCAGGTTATGTCTTGGCTAGAACACAGTCTTCTGATAGCAGCTACAATGGTCGACTCGGGGGACCCCATGGTATGCGAATCTAGACTTCAACGGCTTGACTCTCCCAAACCCGCCACAGGTGAGGGTGCACAAGCGCACTTTGGAAAAGGCTTATGGCAGCTACGGCTCGCTAACAGTTTATCGACACGTTGCTATGACGGGAGCTAAAGAGGCACTCGACCTTCTCCCGCCATCCGTTCTACAAAATAATTCCGTAAGTTACAATATTAGAGGTGTAGTTTAGCATTCACAAAATGAGCCGTTGGCTACCTAGTTCCGGCCCTTTGACCCACTGACCCCTGCTGATAGTGTGAACCCGTACGACAATTCCAACGAGGGTACACCCGGGCCGTCTACACTTTCCTCTCTTTGGATGTTTTTTCGTTCACTTTGGCCATCCTATACTGTACTTTACATATACAATTGAGAGTATTCTATAGGTTGCGCTGTGGGTTTGGTCACACCACAAGGGCCACAGTGCTGCATATTATCAAAGACAGTCTCATATATACTAATGTCTCCTACTTACTCTGCAGTTGGAGGACGACTAAAAGAATACTAACTAAATGATGTTTGTCTCCCTACCCGAATAAATTTTTACTTATCTTTTTTTAAAGGTCAAGTTTAAATAAAAGATTGTCTAATCTTCAAAAAAGGGGCCACAACGCTGAAAAACTTATCTGCTTTTCAGAAAGCTTCTGAATTTCCTCTTTTAGACCAGTAGAATTTTCGGCAAAACCTTGGAAAATAAAAAGTAATAGCAATCTGCATAAGCAGAGGTTACGGGGGTGAAAGTCGCCCTCGTAACAAAATATAAAAGGTCTACCTTGTCCGGGAGATAAGAAAAGGTGATTTAGCTGCCTGTATAGCAAAAGTCTGAGGAAATGCTGAGCGAACATAGTGATGAGATCGCGTTGCTGAAAAGTCAACTGGTCCCCTATAAACTTATTAACAAAAAAATTTATTTAAAAAGTTAAAGGTTGTATGTTAAGCTGATTTTTAGTCTAAAAATACTAATACTTTCCATGAGTGGTCCACGCAAAGCTGTTAATCAGGAAGATGGAACAATAATAACCTTCCCAGGCTCGCATTCATCCCCAATTTTTAAGTTTTTAATGTGAGAAGCGAGGAGAACTCCCGAAGCTAGCAGTCCAAAAACCTTCAAGGAAACGGAGCATTCTTAGTGAAGCCCCAAATGGTTGCACCAAAGGTACCTCCTTTACAATTCTGCATAAGCAAATGGAAGATTCTGCACGAGCAAACACCCAATGGGCGAGGGCTAGCCAGTTATAAGTTCTATATCAAGATACACGGCGTTAAGCGCTGGCAAAAAGTTTGCCGCTAGGGAAAGATTCCTTACCCGAACTCTTCCAGAGCGGAGGTAAGTGCAAGTTCAACCTCAATATCGTTATGCGAACGAAAAAGATCAACCCCATTTCTTCGGCTTCGCCAGTCAACTAGACCTTAACAATTATGTAATGCGCTTTTATAAAAGCTATTCCCTGAATCAGTATTGCAAAGATCTCGCCTTTGATGATGGTAACGGCTTGGCTAATCTTATCTGCTTGGTGCTCGGAAAACCAAACCTACAAAAAGTACACGCAAAAGCTAGCTAAGTAGCTAATAAGTTAAGACGGAAGCTATGAAACGGTAACTTCGTGCCGAACCGCATCTAACCCCTTTTCAGCATTTCATAGTGGGCAGGTGGCAGGCCGTTCTTTCTTTGCAGCGCTTGGGAGGACGTTAACAGCACTTTTACCCAAATCTAGATGGAAAATAATATAGAAAAGTAGGAGCAACATAGAATAACCAAAAAGAAAAACAGGCTCGGCTACGCATAAGTAGGGTAGGTATTAACGAGTAGTAATCAAAAGTACGTTATTTTTTGAAGCTACAAGACCGAATGGAGGCCTCAAAGATACACAGAATTGGCCCTACGAGTAATTTATAATAGTGAAGCGCAAATTTTTAAAGAAAAAGATAACAAACGTTCTTGATAAGATAAGCAAGTGCCCCTACTTCTTCGGGGCTTGGGATGGCTCCAAAGAGCAAAACAATGTCAAAAGTTGGTCGGGAGCGAATCATGGTCTTTGAGGGAAAGGAGCCTACCAGAATCGTCTAGGACTTGATCAAACAAAAAAGAGATAAGGAAATTATAAGAGAAGAATACGTTGAGGTGAGAAGAGATTGGGCCTGGCTTGAGAATAAGGAGGATTTCATCTACAACATTAACAATCCTTTTTAAACCTTAAAAAAAAAGTAGACTCAATTAAGCAGAGAAAGCTTGACGTTATTTGAATCAAGAAACACCGGCGAAATAAAAGTTTCTAAGAGAACAACGAAACTTAGAAGAACTGTACTCTCCAGCTCAAGTACGTAATCGATGAAAAAAGCCTTACCTTTCGCCATATTTTTAACAACTAGCCTAAAAGCTTACACATAACCACTAAGTTTTTAAGTTCTGGAATTAATAAGTTAGGCACAAGTTTATGGTAAGGGAAAGCTAACAGAACATATTTTCGCCTTGAAAATGGTAAGTTGTAATAAGGATGAGGAGTCATAGGTAGTTATAAAGAAGGCAAAGCTGAATCAACGTTAAGATTTCTACAACTTTAAAAGTATATACCCCTCTCGGAAGGGGAACATCGTTCATAAAACGTTTCCAAGAATATGTCCTAGTTTTTTGTTAATAAGTACAATATTATGAAATAAAGTCATAAATAACGGAAGGGATTATAGATTTTTTTCAATGTTGCTCTTATCACAGTTTAAATAATTTAAAAATTTTTATAGTTAACATTGGTAGGCTAAGATCGCTGACGGTTGGAAAAACAAAAGGGGTTTCAAATTCTTGCTAAATCAAAGTAAACTTTTTACATCAAGGCGACAGTCCAAGACTTCTGCAGGAAAGGGAAGAAGAGATGAGCCCAAAGAATCGCATACTAAATTTGAGCCTAAAAATACTTGGTCTATTTGCCCAAAAGAAGAACTACAGCTGAAGACAAATTTTAAAAAAATAGTCGTGAATCGTACACAAAGACAAAAAACCTGATACAGGATTTTCTATGTTTCTTTCCATACAGATGCTGCCGCAACACTAAATCCGAAGAGCAGTTGGAGTCGCAGAGGCGACAATAATAGTGAAGCAGGTGTGACCTGGCCTCCCCCTTCGACATTAAATAAATAATACTTCTTTTCATGAACTAGTGAGGGCTTCACCATAATATACGAAATTTTTTGTCACTCAGAACCTTTTAGACGCAAATTCTATAGCGAATTTTCCGTTTTCGTAACTACTAAATGGATACGGTTTTAAAACGTCGAAAGAGGCCTCCCAGAGAAAAAGAGATCTTAGTTAAACAAGATTTTTATCTTGTTGGCCTTAATAGAAAACTTATTAATTTTTTTCAAGTGTTTAAACTAGAAACTTACAGAGTGGCGTAAACGACCAAAAATAGAGGGCTAAAAAATTTATTAATTTAATTCGCAACACTGTGCATAGTAATCCATTACACAAGATATATATAACATAAGTTTATAAGTATATATTTAAATATATATAGAACTAGTCAATCGTTTTAAGATTTTAATGTGCTTATAATTTTAACGGTTTTACCTTTTAAAAGTTTCTTTTTTTTAAAAAATGTCTCAACATATTTCTAATAATTCTAGTCAAACTTTTACCCGTCATTTTAAAATAAACTTAACTTCAGCTTCGCTTGAATTTTTGCAGAACTTCAAGTAATTGTCCACTTACTACCAACATTCTGTAAAGGTAAAGATTTGTACCATTTTAGTGTATATTACCAAGTCTTCTGTATTGTGATACCTTCTACTATTTTCTATAAAATCGTTATTTGTATTCTTCTTTAAAGGTAAGTAAGTTTAAGTGGCTACACAAAACTACCCAAAAAAAATTTCTGTTGGCAAACTTACTATCAAACACGTAGGATAGCCTAGGAGGAAGTTATTTATGATCCGTATCTCCTTTTTCTTGCGAGATATAATAACGATTTACTTAATAATTTTCTTGCGAAGTGGTAGTGGGTTATCATACTTTTAATCCGGTAAAGAAAGTCATCATTGCTATTTCCTATTTTTGAAGGAATTTTTCAAGAGCTTATAAATGAAAGCTTGTTGCGTAGGTGTACGTTTTCAACCATTAGTTGTTTAGTAAAAGTTTTTAAAAAAGAAATTTTTTAAAGTTCAGATTGCTTCCAACATCTATCTCTCCTCTTAGACGTTATGAAGCCCGCATGTTATAAATTTTTTTTTTTGGCGAAACCCATAGAGCTTCGGGGTATGAAAGCAGTTAGCCAGTATACGATTCTATCAACCCAAAAGCTGCACGTTGATTTCACAGGCTTCAAGTCTACAGAAACTTGTATATTATAGGCAGTAAAGTAGTATAAAATAGATAATATAAAGTATATTATAGATAATAAAGTAAATAACATAGTAAAGTCGATGTACCAGAAAGCACTAAATTTAATTTGACTTTTACAGACCTCCATAAGCGCACCAAACCCAACCGCAGAACGGTCAAAGGGAAAGAAAAAAGTATAATGGGTGCGCGTATGAAACTTTCATAACCACATGTGCACTGTCTATGAACATTGCCCACATATTAAAAACATGTTAAAAAAATTTTCTCACAGACCCGTTCGACTGTCCTTATATAACTCCCTCATCAGCTATGAGCTTAAATAAATATATATGTGTTGAACAAAATGGTAAAACGAACAGTGAAATTCCTTAAACAACTAAGTAGTTTTATATATGCTTGTTATAACAATCATGTTCTGTATCTTGTGGTTTGTCACCACAATACGTAATGTTGAGTTACAAGCCAAATGCAGAGCAAGTTTGAAATGATAGTTAGGGAACGCTAAGGATAATCTTTTTTTATTATAAATTAAAATTAAAAAAGCACTTGCAACAATATTTATTAAACTTGCGTAACAGAGATCACTACCACCTAACTGTGAAAAATATGGGAAATGATAATAATGTTAAAACATTATTATCTCATTCAAGCAAATATGTGTCCTTTTAACTGATAGAAATGGGTCTAGTATATACTCTTAAAAGCGTACGCCGGCCTTTATTAAAACTTCGATAAATCGGTCTTATTTTCCCAATCTCCTTACCTAGTGAAGGCGCTCTAACTCAACAAAGGTTTGAAAGTCAATGCAAACCCAAGAAAATTGAAGAATATTTTAAAGAACCTATCTCAAATCGAAGCAATTAAATAAACACTTTAGTCACTGTGAATTTTTTAATTATGTAAAATTATACTTGTTTGTAACTTTACTCTTCTAACAATTGTTAAACACCACCTTACAAAAAACGCAACGGTCTAAATTTATAAAATTATAACCCTTACTTTTTTCTTGAACAGCGTAGTGACGCTATTTTTCGGAAGACCTATACCATTATCTTTTTGCGAGCATTCAAAGCGTTAAACAAGTTTTACTAATTAAATGAAAAGAACCGCTCTCTCTTTGATGTAAACTTAGCTTAACTTTCATTAGGTCGGCTCCTTAGACCTTATGTTAATTAGTGGCGCGAAAACCAAATACCTTATCATTTGGCTTGCCCGCACACTAATATTAAATATCACTAATCATTATATTTGCAAGCTTAACTTAAGGGAACAAGTGCGTACTAGGGTATCCTACAACTTTTATTAGTCACTGAAACAGCCTTTACCAATGAATATACCGCAAAAAAAAAAAAAACATTTTTGAAAACTTTCAGAGGTTGACTTTTTTCCCCTTTAGCGTTTAGACTCACTCGGCAAAAGACCGCATATCTTTACAGTGCTATTTCGTTTTAAAAATTACACAAAAAGAATTTTTAAAATTACCAAGTTCCTTTAAGGTGTACAACAACCTTTTGCACTCCTTTCTTTAAGTTTTATAATAAAAGAATAGACTTTAAGAAGCTTTCGAAAGGTCAGTTTTCTACCGTATATAAAGCCTTATATGTTTCACCTGAGGTTAAAACTGCTACTCATATTATTTTAACAAATAACTATAATCCACACCAACCTGCTAGCTTTTTTGGAATAGTAGCACCAATTAAGACGTAAAACGCTTTGAAGTTTATTTTAAAATATTATAACTATATAGTCAACGTTAAAGCAGTGTTTGAGAAGTAAGAGGCCTATAACAGGTACCTCAAAAATAATTAAAAAAAAGTTCGAATGATATCAGTTGCTTTTATTAACGATATATCAAATTAGGAAGGTTCAGTCGTCTTCTTCCTCCTTCTGATCGGATTGCCAAAGATTCAGATTGTCTTTGATAAGTTGGAGGATAAGGGCCGAGTCTTTGGTGCCACTATCTTCCTGCTGTGGTTGGTTTAAAGCTTCGTCATGAGCGCTTTGAGCTAACTGGCAAGCCATCTCTTTATTTTCCACAATCTCGTAATAATATACAGAATAATTTAAGATCAGGCCCAAGAGAATGGAATTCATGGGCTCAAGGTCCTTTTTGGCTATCTCAAGAGCCTCTTGGTATTGCTGCTTGGAATTATCCGAGGCTTCTTGTCTCTCTTGGCCGCTTTTAGACTCCGCGAGATACCGATAATAGTCACCTTTATGTAGTCAGATATGAAATCTGCCGCACTGAAGCAGTTAAATGTCATACAATAACCTTGCATTTTTAAAAAGAAAACTTTTCCTTCAGAGGTACCGCACTTAGTTATTAAGTGTTGCGTAACTTCAATAACTTCGTCTACGATATCCTTAATTTCTTTCTCAATTTTGCTATAAAGTTAAAAAGAAGTTAACTCCTTCTGACAGAAGAATGACAAAATAGCTAAGAATTAAAAAGTAAAAAATATATAAACAAGACGTACTTCATATACTCGGTTATGTAGGCTACCCTCTCTGATCCATTTTTTTCTTCATTTTTCTTAACATTTGCAAAAATTCTTAAAGCAGAACGCAAAGGGCCTATTAAATTTTTATAGGCCACGGAGAACAAGTTCCTTTCTTCCACAGTAAACTCATCTTCGGCTAGCTCCACAATCTCCTTCATAGAGTTCGCCATATCCCTATATCTCTCCGAGAGATTACTTAAACTTGTCAAATAAAGTTTTTCTTCCCGTTTGGAGTGCATAGTTAGAGTTCTAAAGAAGTCGCTTCATTATTTAAAATAAGTAAACTACAGTTGACTTATTAAATATAAGGATAATTCACATAATTCAAAGCTTCACAGCTATAAATAACTTAACAAAAGTTTCTCAAGTTTATTACGTACTATTGTATGGTAATATAAAACAGCTTAAGTCTATAATTAAAATAAGACAGTGAAAGGAAACTTCTTTAGCAAAAAAGCACCCAAAGCTTAATAAAAATATGTAACATCAAGTGCCATCAGCAACAAACTTACCGACCGCTATCAGGCAACCTGTGAGAAAGTAGCGAAATAAGACTTTTATATAATTTTTTAAGGGTACCAACGATGCAGCGAGCGGTCGTATATAGGCATTTTAGGGGTTGCGAGAACCGTATTTAGTACTGTAGATAATTAGAGTCGCCATATTGGACTATTTCAGTAAAGCTGTTGCTCTCGACTATAAGCGATGCGACGCTCTTCTTCGTGTTGTTCCTTGCTGCATCGAGATATTCCTTCTTCTCTTGTGTTAGGATATGTTACTTAAAAGCATGATCTTCTGCTCCCTTAGGGGTAGGTGTTCTTTTTTAACAGGGAAAAACTTAGTTCGACTTAAGCTGTATTTTAAAAAATTTATATTGTTATCGCGTGCTATTCTCAAACCTTTAATAGAGACCTAATTCTATTTCCTTAAAAAAAATATATCGATTATTGGTACGGAAAGTTCCCTCTTTACATTTTTCGTGACTAACAATTCAACTATGATGTGACTCTTAATGTTATAACGATGTCCGAAATTAGTTCAGGCATGTGATAAAAGTTAATCTTCTCGCTGAGTTGAATTAGTTTTGTGTTATATTATTTTTAACTGCATAATTGTTTTTTTTTTGCCTGGTCATAGGTTTTCCTCAAAACACCACTACTTAGTAGGGTTTCGTAGGGGTGCCTCGAGAAACCCACGAATAAGCAGTTTATAAACTTGAGTAAGGCTGCTTAATGGAAATCTAAAAAAGCTATTTAATAACTGTTATTCAAAAACTTGTTGGAGCTTGCTTTATAGTGTTGCTTTTACTTCTTTCTACGGGGATATATTGCAATTTATATTATGTATAAAGATTAAGTGTGTGTACAAATAACTAAATCCGTTTAATAATTCTTTTTAATAGAGTAAAAGTTTATTGTTTGAGAAAAAAGTTCACATTACGTCTCTGGAAGTTTCAAAGAGGTCTTAGCCATTTCAAAAGCGCCCACTTTATTTTTATTGCCTCCCACAAATCCAGTAGCGTGGCAAAATATGCAACTGGGAATTCCAGAAACTTTCGAGAGCTCTTCTGCTCTTAGGCCTAAAGTATATATTAAAACCTTAACAGCAAACGTATTCGAAACTAGACAAGTAAACAAACCTCGCCAGGATTCCGGAAGACCTTTCCGTAAGGTGAAACTTTGTTCATGAAGGGGGATAGCCTGAACGCGCCAGCTACCTAGCCAAATTCTAAGTGTTCCTATTAAAGACGATTAGAGGAATGAACCGTCGCATTCGTAGATAACATATAGAGGAAGTTCTTTTTCTTGAAGCCCCAACTCCTTTTCCAAATTAAAAAGATGGCTTTTCCAGGGACAATTTCGAGTCAGCTCTACTATTAAACCTTTTTTTTTTCAAAAAAAAAAAACTCAAATTTGCCAATAAGTGCAGCAAAAAGGTTGGACCTGATTGGTCTACAGCAAAGCGATTGTTTAAAGCATCAATAACAATTGAACGGGCGGGCAACCAGCTTTTTCTGTAGAAAAAGTAATTTGAAAGCGGTAATAAAAGTAATTTAAATAAAATTACAGTAAAAAATTAAGATGGCACATTAATTCTTGACCAACTAAGCCCATTGCTTTTTGGAAAAGTTCCTAGCTGGCAACAATTATTAAAACTGAAAGTTCAAAATAAAATTATAACAGAAATATTTATGTAACAGAGTTTGAGGGGTTTCTTTTATTTTTTATCTATAGAAATCTACTAGACATCTATATAAACTTAAACAGTTTAATTTTCTATTATTATATAAACTCGCAACAACCTGCCTTCTAATTGTAAATTTTTTCAGAAACTTTATAATATAGAATAAGACTAACGTCGAAGTTAACATCTTGCTCTTCGTTCCATTCAGGATTAAGAAAGTTGATCCTCGAGGGCAAATCAGTATTGCTTTGATAAAGAGGTATTGCATCACCGTATTGCTTTATTCCATTATCATTTCCATCAATACCCTCAATAAATCGCTTTAAAAGAATTTTAATTTTTTTATAAATAATAGCCAGAGCTGAAAAAAATGTTAGTGCATAAACAATCAATTAACTTCGTAAAGAACGTTGTAGATAGTTTTAAGGTCTTCCTTTGATATACCGTTGCAAAATAGCTCGATGATCTCCTCGCCGAAGTATTTGTACACGAGCCCAGCGCTACTTAGTTTCGTTTGGTGTTTTTTAGTAAACGTCTCGTGAAAATCGCGCTATAATTAGATAATAAAATACTAAATACTATAGTTAAGAAAAGTTAGGTACCTGGTGGTGGTCATAGCGATTCCTTTCAGGATCACATATAGCTCCTACGTCAACAACGATGTCTGCACTTTCAATAACGTCTGGATCCCTAGTTCTAATAATTTCTGCCCAAACCAACAAATAATGATGTTAAATAGAATACTGTTAATAAAGTTACTTGCATCCTTAAATCGAGGAAGTTGCTTTAATAAAAAACAAGCTAATGCTTCATCAGCATGAAATCTATGAAAGAGTAGGTTTAAAAAGATTTACATGGTTTTAATAAATTAATAAAGAATAAAATAAATGCTAGTTACGTTAACTTCACAGCTATATAGCTGTTTATTATTATTATTATCAGAATATAATAAATTTGAAATGATACAAGTAGTTATACAATAAAGTTCTACAAAGGTATAAGTATCATCAATAACTTCTAATATAAGTGATAAGAGCTCAATTTGGGACCTAACCTTCCACTATGCGTGCAGATCGTGACCATCTTTTAGCAAAAAGAGTACAAGCTAAACTGGCCACCAAAGCCCTTCTAATTTAAATTTTCTATAGCACCTTCTGGTGCTCGACTGGTAACCCAAAGGGAGTAGCACCTCTTGTTTAGACATTAGTACTCACAGTAGGTCTCCCGGGCCCCTTGAGTTTCAAATTTTTACTATTATATTAAATAAAAAGTACCGTAAATTTTTAAACTCTTGTATTTTATTAAGATATTAGATACAGGCCAACTAAACTATAACTTCTATCTAATTTGAATATTTAAAAACAAAATGATTTCCAAATCTGTGAGGCCCCCAGAGAGTACTGTAGGGTTAACAAGTAATACTCGTGCTCCTATAAATTTAATAGCCTGCGATTCCACTTTATGCGAGGTTTAAATACCCAACCATCGAAGACCAAAAAAGAGAGTTATGTTGGTAGGAAGCACCTCGACAACTTTTAATTTCAGTATGATGACTTTAGTTATTTAACCTGTTAGCTTCTACTTAGCGCTCGATCAAGCCCAAAAACTTTTAATTTTTGAGCGTAAATAACATTTAGGCTATTTAGTAAAATTCTTGTCTAATCTCCGAAGATGAAAAATTTTATTTTTCTTTACTTTCATTTTTTTTATTATTTGGGGCTTCAGTGCTCGTAAGTGAGCTGACTTACCGAAAGAAAATCGCCTATTTAGCCATTTGAGGTGTATTGGCTTAAAAAACACTGTACAGAGACTCTAGCTGTAGGTCTCGTCGTAAGTGTATCCCGCAAACTACAGCGCGCCTCTCGACTTAAAATTGTGTTTGATGTGTATGACGTGAATAATCAAATACACAGTACGTACAACCACCTCCTGTTACACAGCTCTCCAATTAGCTATTAAGGTTAGTATTAACACAAGATAAAAATTGACTGATAAAGTATAATAAAAAATTTTAACACTATAAATTTATAATAATATTGTTTATTAACCTATTTTTATGTACTACTACTCACAGGTAAGGTCTAGTCAGCACACAATGGGTAAGGACCCTAAACAAAGAGAAAGAAAAAAACCTGCGTCCTCCATGCAAGTCTTGCAATCCCTTAGTCCTCATTCTTTAGTAGTTGCAAAATTGCGCAAAGGCGCTTGACTATTGCAACCACCTAGTCCATTGGTGTACGCAACTAAAGTTAGTTGTAGATAATAACGCCCATTTACTTTTTTCAGGAAAACTATGGAATAACCATGTGCGGAGGTCGGCGCTAGTGGTGGTGAAGTATGTACGCTTTGCTCTTTACCGTGCTCATAGGGAATCTGCAACCCCCATCGTTGGCGACAATCAAAAAAACTTTTAGAATTCACTGTCATCTGCGCACAGGGCAATTAATAAATAAGGTTAAACTGAAAACGGTCGTTCTCTTAAGGCTAAAAGGGCAAAGGTAAAAAAAGAGGTTTTCGCTAAACTCTCGCTGCTTGTAGTACTAAGCCACTCGCATAATTATGGCGCGGTTTTTAACATAAGGCTTGGCATGTGGGCCCCTATGAGGTCCTAACATTTAGAGAGACGGTGCTTATCTCTTCGAGTATTACTTGTAAATAGCCCATTCGGTCAGTCAAAAAAGAAGTTAGCGGTGGGCTCTTCTTTAGTTGCATTACGGTCTTCCATCGCAAGAAAGGACAATTTCTTTAAATTGATTTGATGCAGTCGGGACGGAGCGTCTTTCGCCTCGATAGTACTTTGATACGCTCCTGCAATTCGTTTATGGTAGTTCTCGACAACTTTGAAAAAGCAAACCAATAAAAGAAGCAAATTATTAGCAAATGAAAGGGCAGCTGGTTCAACGCAGATAGCTAGACTATCGATAAAATTTTTGCATCGTTCATGTGGCTTTCTGAAACAATTTCGCCATGGTGCAGAGGCGCCAGCGTACTGCTCCCTTTTGGAATTGAACTGGTCGTCGCTGGGTTGACACGCCGCCTTACCGGTGTTATAGTGCACCAAAAACTTTCCTGCTAGTTTTTCTTCGGCACACTGGAACCCCATGAAAATTTGTGTAAAAGTCTACTATTTACCTAAGGCCTCCTATATACTCCAATTCTCTTTTATTTTATTGATATCTTGCAGTTTAAGTTTAGTTTCAATGACTAATGGAAGTTTGATAGCTTACTAGGTTTTATACCGAAGCTTCGCTTAGTTGTGTTACAAGATTTTCTTAATTGAGTAGGAGCTCATTTGTATTCTCTTTAATGTTGGAGCCAAGGATCCTTTTCATGAGTTCTCTGGGTAATATTTCTTTGTTTTCATGAATATACTTATTATGTATGTTTGGTCTCTAAATATACGACAATTATCGACCTAGATAACTATTATTGAGTCACATCCTTTAGGGTAGTAAAGACAGTTACCAATAAGAAAATATTTACATCCGTTTTTATTTTGTTTGACCTGAGATCTCGATTAAACAGCTTCCTTTGTGTTAATAGACAGCAAGTTAACCTTAACTCTTTCTAAGCTAAACTCTTTTAAGATAACGACGACGCTTTATAAGAGAGTTTAAAATGTTTGTTTGCTGAATATAGGCTCAGGCATTAAAGAGCGTACATCATTAGCGGATCTATAGACCGTATACATAATAAACACTTATTTTTTGATGCAATCGGTTTCATATCTAAGGGAATCAAAACGACTATAACATGTTAGGCTCTTGTGACCACGTAAGAGAGATGATGAGTCCAGCTTAACCTGTTGTCAATTATCATCCCGAGGTATTTAACCCTTCTTACCTCGAGAAAGGGCAGCATGTTTTAGTGAGAGACTAGGTGTTTGAGGAAGTCTTATTTTTCGTCTTTAATTAATAAAGCTACCTTTTAACGCCTTAATTTAGTAACCTCCATGTTGAAAACCATGCCTCTAGCACTGCCAAATAAAGATGTAAGTTTGTAAACAATAGCTGGAAATTTTTGAACTATAATAAAAAGCGGTGTTCATCAGCTTACTAGGGTAGGTTTATTGGCATATCAAACATGTGGAAAAAAGTAAAGAGGATTAAAAAGCCTTAGAAACATGCACCTTCAGATTTCAGTAACAAACGTCATCGACTTTAGTCAAGCAGTATAATTTTATCCGTTAGGTACCGCAATTAAGTAAAAAAGAGAAGCTAGTAGTAATCAATTCGGAGACTAAAGCATCGTTTTACACATGTTACTTTTCTACATTACATGCCCTTGTAGTTCTTCCCGTAAGCTTAAGTATCTGGTGCACAGTGAAGGAATTTTATTTAGAATTTAACGAAGCGCACATCCTCTCTATTAACTCCTGTAACGCAGCCAGAACAACCGCTTCTACCACCTTTTAAGTACCAGAAAAGCTTCTTGGGCTAGTATCTCACGTCTAAGGGGTCTAATATACATAATACACAGAACTTCTGCTAATATTTATCGTTTTGGGGAAAGTGGAGGTAGGTATGTGAATAATAAACCTTAACAGCAAGGAGAATGCTTTTACAGTTAGGTTTTTAAGCATTAAATATGAAATGTAATTTGGGCCCAAAGCAATCTCTTGTACTAACAGTGATTTTATGTTCCCACGAGTCGCTATCTTAACCTTGTTACAAATTTTGGAATTAAAAGGTAAATAGCAAATATGGTAAACAAGTGCCTACGATGTCGTTTTACATTTCCGTCAGACTCTAACTTGGATGAGTAAGCCTCTAATGAGCCAGCAACTATCTCTAAAATTTTAGAGGAGTCTCGACAACTGTGTGTCTGGGTTCATGGATGGGCGGCTTAATGTTCCGAGCTTGGGAAGGACACCTGTTATTTTCCATAAGAGGTGTTTTCTGGTCCAAAAGATTCTAATTCGTCTACCAGCTTTCTTTAAACAAAGCTTTTTTCACCGCCAGAAAAGCAAGCGATCATCTTTCATGTTCTTAAATTTCGCCTTCTCTTAAGTTATAACCTGACAAAGTTTGGTAGGTTTTGTTTGTGCATTCTTTTATGTTTGTGAACTGACACTTTAGTTTAGTGCCGAAATATATAAAAATGATTTCAGGAGAGAGACATTATATTCCAGTCTATTAATTTCTTTAGCCCAGCTCCTCTACTAAACGCGAGAAGTCGGCCTTCGCATAGCCACGCGATTAAAGTTGAAAATCAGTCAAGCCGCGCCACTGGCCGGTTTATATCGCAAAAATTTTGTAATCTAGCCCTCACTAATCCATATGCACCTACTAGTTCTTTTAACGAGGTGGACTTACTCTACTGTCAGTCTCCTTTATAGCTAATTCCAATAAGCCAGTGTGTCGTGTCTAAGTGATCTAAGTCAAATTTTTTAAACGAAAAGTATCATGGAGTTAATGTTTTATCTAGATGCTCCAGGAATGTTAGCTTACTAGTTATTTTTTTAACGCAAGTGCCCGGGCCTGCATTGTGTTGTACCTCTATAAAAATGGGTTGTACTTAGAAGAGAGTTCAAATAGCTTATTGGACAGGGGATAAGTGCCACATATATTTTGTATTACCTCGAGGCCTAAAGAGGGCGAGCGATGCGTTTAATCCTTGGGACCAATAACTGCAAAACTGCCTTTTTCGTCGGCTAGTTATGGCAAACCTCTTTCCATTGCCTTTAATTTTGTAACGCCTGCTATTTCACAGAGGACTATAAAAAAATAGACCTTAAGATGCTAATGTAATACGCAAAAATTTCATTAACATCAAGTATATGTATCGAAAGTGTTTACTGATTATTTTAAAAGTTTATTTTTAAGAGATGCTACCTCAATTATATAGTATAGATTATATAATGAACGCATTAGTATATATACTTATATTTCGTAAATTTATTTATATATTTATAGTAAAAAACTTATATATATAAATATGCATGGTTTGATATTATTACTCTAATTTAAAAAGATTTTAAAAATTAAGTATGATAATTAATGTTTTCTTAGTTTAGCTAAAACTAAAGGTAATGCGTCATTATAAAGTTTAATAATAACTCCACGATTATTAAGAATATTTACAAATTAGTACTAGCTAACTTAATTTTTTATTAATTTATATTGGCTGTTTAAGAGATTTCTTTTGCAGACGCATTTTGGATTATTATATGAAAAATTAATTTCTGAACAGATCTTTGCTCCTGCGTTTTCGATTGCGCAATTGCTTTAAAGTTGCGGAAAAGAATTTAACTAAAAGTTTTCTTTCAAAGTGGACTTTTATATTTCTAAGACTTATACTAATGTTAAAAAAACTACTAGTAAGCAAGCATATAATAAATGTGCTTCTCCATTATTGTTTGCAAACCAGGATTCTGCAATAAGGCTTTGATTGTTTAAATTTTAATAAAGCTGAGGTAACCTTAAGAAAGAGTGGCATTTGGGCATCTAGATAAGGCGTGTAGCGTAAATGAATTTGGCGTACTCCTCAAAATAGGAAGTTCTTCTGTTTATGTAAAACTCACTTAACATTTTAAAGAAAATGTTACAAGTTAAATAAAATTAAGACTAATCTCGTATCATTAGTACTGGAGAGTTATTTGAAAAACTCACATAATTATGGGTAGTTACAAAAAACATATATTGGTTAACTTTTTAGCTTCTGCACAAACGATTAAAGCTTACTAGAAATTACTTTGGCAGCTTATTAAAAAATAAAATTAATATAATTTTAAAGAGGGATATATGTGCATTTGGGAATTAAAAGTCAAAGCTGACAGTGGTCTTGGGAGCAATAAAAATTAAGGTGAAACTTCTAAGCTTTCATTGCTCTAAATTTAAGAGCTTACTTAGTAAAAAAGTAACTTGAAAGCGAGGTTTACAAAATTCGAAGAGAGCAGTCTCTGTTGCATTTTAAAACCTTAAAACATCAAAAAAGATAAATTAAGTTTTGTAAAACCAGCACACTTTATTGCTCAGTTTTTAACTGTATATATATCTTTTAAAAAGATAAAAAGATTACTTCTATGTTTGTAAAAAATAATTTAATTTTGCAAAATAAATTTTATAATTTTTACTTTGCTTAATTTGTATTAAACTAATAAAAGGAATAAAAATTATTTTTATTTTTTTGTGTGCGGTTGAGAGTTGACCGTCCAAGTACACGAATTAAACATTTAAAAGGAGTTGTGCGCATCGAGCTCTTTTTTTTGGTCGTCTTGTGTTACTCAGGCAGCTAAAGAGCAATTAAATAAATTATTACTGCCCTTCTTTATTTTTAACTAACTCTATATTATATTTCTTACTTATATAATTTAATAAATTTCTCTCATTCATTTATAATATATTAGTTCTTGAAGTTATTAAGTTTCTAAGATTAAAAGTTAGGGGAAAAAATCTATTTAATTTAATAATTAACTGTAATTTTTGTTTTGCTTACTTTGAATCAAAATAATTAATGGGGTCAAGATGTCGTGTTTGCTATTTTTAATCTGACCCTTTTTAGTTAAAGTACTAGATATTAATTGGCTTATTAACTAATTATTTTTCCTGTGAAAATTTGTTTTTCTTCCCGTAATTTGTGTTTTAGTTTTTTTCACTTGTTTATTTTGTCTATTACCTTTAATGATCCTCTATTATTATATAAATTTATGATTGATTTTATTATCTATTTTTTGATGTATGGCACTTGTGGTTTTATTAACTGATTGTTGTAATAGAGTTTGAATGTGCGGTGTATTGTTTTGTTGTTTTTCTTGTTACCTTAAATAAGTTCTTTAGATATATGGACTCCGAAATGTAGGTATTTAAAAATTAAAAAATTTCATCATTTGTTGCATTCAAAGCCTCATCATTTAAGTACATAGTTCCTTATAAATTTTCCCAGTATAAAATTTAGTTCGACTGCCTCTTCACTCGTGGGGAGGGAGAAAATGTAATAGCTTCTTCTCTTAAAGTATAAATACCTACAGGTGGCTTTTACGCCAATAGCAGCGCTCTGTCGCTTCTAACAAGGTTTCCAGCTTTGAGGTATAATTTTAGTAAAGAAAGCTGTAGGGAAGGACAAGCGAGAAACAAATTCTAAATAAAAAACGGAAATAATGACCATTACTATAATGTCATACCTCTTTCAGAAAACTTTAGCGACGTAACGGCCTTAGTTCGCAGGTTTTTGTGGGTCGTCAATCAAGCTTAGTTTATAATCTAATGTCCGGAGTGGGGCGGAGTTTTATTAAACTTAGGTAGTTCTTCGCTGCGCTTTTAGAACAACGATGTAAAATTTTCCTGCTGAATGGAAATTATAGAAAGCATAAAGTGGAATTAGTTTGACTTGCTTACACACTAAAATTACTCTTTTTAAAAAGAGGTATTAATTATACTAAAATTAATAGGTTAAGGCAGGTAGTAATACTTTTAATAAACTTTTACCTAATGTTTTATGGTGTGAAATTTTTATTGCTCCTCAGATATAATTTTTTTTTTTTAAAAAAAACCTGACAGTGTAATTATAAGAGTTCAGACCTTATTAAATTAAATGTAATAACGTTTTGTGCGCGTGAGGCTATACCAGGGGGTTTATCTTGTTATTGAACGGGCATTGGTATAATATTAACATCTTTTCTTCTTATAACCATATATTTTTTTTAGTCCTTATATATCCTATTTTAAAGTTGTTATAGATGCTTAAAAAAGTTTATATTTTACTAAACAGTTTAATTTAAGAAGTAATAGTTTAGACAAATAAATTCTTAATATCATAAATTTTTTTAAGCTCTGCGAAATAAACTGTTCAGAAATAAAACAGCTTTTGTTTGGCCAATAAATCTTGGTGTAGGTAAGGACTAATTAGAACTGTATAACATGAACTGTTAGCTTGAGCTTATTAAAATTAATAGTTTCCAAAACGTGCTAATTTACGTTAATAATTTTTTTTTTTTAAGTTTAAACACAAATTTGTAACAAATAAAAAAAAACAACGAACTACGAATTAAAAACAAACGTTTAATCAGTGAACCAAATTTTAAAGAGACTGATTAGTTAAAAAGCTTGAGGTTTTGAAGAGACGCTCATTTCCTTTAAAATGTATCATCAAATTTTCAAGTGGACAAAGGGCTACGCGTTTTACACAGTGAATTATCTTGATTAGGGCCTCGTTTTATCCGAGTCTTTCTTGGTTGAATATGGGCGGTCTTCTATCCTTTCCAGGGTGCGTACTCGTTTTATAGCACTTTTTGTAAATTTTATCAATTTTTTTTGTTATAGTAAACTAAATTTAACTATTTACACTTTTTATATAAAAAGTTAAACCTTTAAATTTTATGCTTTTCAGCCCCTATATTGAGGAACAGTGTCTTAACGTTTTACCATTTCTCGCGGGCCTTTCAAAAAGACAATTTAAAATTTTGTTGGAAGCTTGCGTTCAAAATCAATACAAAGCAGGTGCTTCACTATCTGAATTTTTTACTACGGTTTATAATTACCTAAACTTTGTAAAAAGGTTGTCTAGTCGTTTCTGAAGGTGATTCACCTGGTTTTAATATTATAGTGTCTGGTTCCGTTGAAGTGCTTTCTGTTGTACTACCCCCTTTTTTTTATTTTTGTTAGAATTAAGTTTTTTTTTTCTATTTTTGCTCTTCAATTTCTCATCTTAACATATTGTTGAGTATAGCAATAACGATGTAAAACGGCTTTATAAAAATCATCTATTTTTCTTATTTTTTACTTTTATTGTATTTAAAGTTGACTACACTCTTGATCGTACACAAATTCACGTTACAATTTTCCTATTTTTAGAGCATTATGATTAGTTTAAATTTTTGAAAAACTACATTTTCATTTAGGAAAAAGAAAACTTTGTTAGCAGACTTGGAGCTGGCAGTTGGTTTGGAGTACTCGACTTAACTGATAAAACACCTCAAAAAGTGTCACTTGTTGCTGTTGAAGATCAAACTACTATTTTGGTATATCCTCTTTCTCTTTCACTTTTTGTTAAGCTTAGAGTATTTCTTGAACCACTTATAGCTTTCTATTAAAGTTATTTTGAAGAGGCTGTTAGCATGTTACTTGTTTATTATTTTATAACTACTTTAGACAATAAAGCGATCGCACTATGAAGCTCTAAAGGAGAAAGATCCTCACGTAGCTGCTTATCTGTCACCCATTAGCGACGGTTCTACACTTATAAAGCTAAAAAACGTTGCGTTTTTACAAGGTGAAGTGAGATTTTGGTGCTCTTGCGAGATAATTTTAGTAATTGTTTTTGTAGTCGATATTAATTAATAGTTGACTTTTTTAGGTTATTGTACTTTAAGTAGATGTTAGCGATATAGTAGTGATATGCTTAAAATGAACGGCTATCACTTTTGAAAAACTTATTACTTATTTGTCTCCTTTTCGTTCGCAAGAGTCGTCCTGTTGGTGGCGAGTTTTTATTTCTCAGCCAAACAGTTGACCCTTCCTCATCTCTTATTATTTACCCTCCGCTGCCAGGATTGAGCGAGACAATAATCCAGCAGCTCTTTTGGCTCTTCCAGTTTCGCTGCTGTCCAAGCGGGACGGTCGTTTGCAAGCAGGTCGGCTCCCTTTCTGGCGCGGTTGCGTTGTTGCTTTTGTTACTCTTTTTCTGTTAGAATGAAGTTTCCGATGGGTTTTATTTAATTGTTTCTGGTCGATGTCATGTCAGTGTACTGGACGTGAACACCAACACATCCGTCTTTCTGTGCTCTTTACAATCCGGCGAGTGGTCTGTCTCTTGCGCTCGTCCACGCACCGCAACGCTTTTGATTATACTCAAAGGTTTGGCGAAATATCTCTGATCGAGCATACCAACCGCACTGCGGACGTTGTGGCTTTTGAGGATTGCTTGTTTCTTTTTCTTTCGCCAGAAAATTTCAATAAGTTTATTCAAGTTCAAGAGCGCCATATTCAAGGCAGCTGTCGTGCATTTGATTCTTTGATAAGTAAAAGAACAACCTCGTCGTTGAAGGTTCTTCTGGTTACTATCGGTGTTGAGCCTTTTTGGTTACACGTGTTCCTCCTCTAATTTAGGCGGTGTCCCTCTTCAATTTTTTGGTTACCAAAGAGGTATTACGCTTCTTGCAAACGATGTGTATCAACGCGCTTGCCATTGGCCATAGATAGGTCCCGTTAGAAAGTTTGATGAGGAGAGGCTTGCGTTGTTGGGTTGTCTTTTTAAGTTTGAAAAGGTATTTTATAAAGTTAGGACCATTATATATAAATATTATAACGCCTTTACAAGTTTGAAGAAGATCAAGTTATTTTTCAACAAGGTGATCAAAGTGATGCAATGTTTATTATTGTATCTGGCTCCGTTAGCATGTCCGTTCAGGTGGGAGGTCGCCTTTTTAATTATAAGTTTTTCCGGGGAGGAGGCACCTCAGCTTTTCGCACAGATGAGGAAACTCGGTTGCTCGAACTCCGGAACGGTGACTTTTTCGGTGAAATGGCTCTTTTCTCAGACTCCCCGCGACCTTTTAAGTGTGCAGCCAAGTCGGACGTTGTCTGTCTCAAGTTGCTCCGTAAAAACTTTCAAGCGTTTTTACAAGTTTCGCCGTCCATCAGTGAGAATGTAGAGCAAATAATTAGGAAGCGAACTGGGGACTTTTTACTTCGCATCCCGTTTTTTAGTCATATTAAAGTAATTACTCATATCGATTTTTAGGCATTTAATAGTAGTTACACTGATGAAAAGGAAAATAAGCCGTGGAGTAAACTTTCCTTACTTGGAAATCTATGCCAGTTTGAATTTTTTCCGTCAGGAAGCACTGTTTTTCGCGAGGGTCAACCCGGAGACAAATTTTACGTTATTGTTACTGGTAGCACAGCGCACCATAACACATTGATCCCGGCGCTAACTCTCCTTCTGTGCTAGGCCAGGTCAAGGCGTCCGTCTTTGTGGACGGCTCTGACCACATCTTGAGCGAATTGGGCCCCGGCGACTTTTTCGGCGAAGTAGCGTTGACGTGCGACACTACAAGGTGTTTTTCTAAATTTAAATAACCCTTTTTTGGTTTACTTGTCTCATTATAACCAATAAGAACCGCCACTATTACTTGCAAGGAAGCAACCGTTGTCCTTTCGTTGAATAAGAAAAATTACGCGGCATTTCGCAGCCTTGCACCAGAACTCCAACCAATAATTCAGCGTTTTGTCGATGCAAGAACAGTGAATACCTTAAAGGTATATTTCTATACCTGTACAGAAGCTGAAGGAGCTCGCGTGTGTTTTCAGGCCTTGAGCTATACCCAGCCTATAAAAACAGACTTCTGGCAGTGATTGGGGATGAGTGCTTACACCTCATATGCCATATAGATTTGTGCAGCGAGTAGGCTGGGCATCAGCATCATAATAACTCCTACGCCTTGCTACAGATGCTGTCACTGTTTAAGAAGGTTAAGGAGAATAAGCCTTGGAGTAAAATGGATATCCTGGCAAAGATGTTCTGTTATGAACAGTTACACGAGGGCGATGTTTTTTTAGAAAAAGGTGTCCTAAACGTTGGCCTTACTACTTAGTTGGTACCGATTGACGCTTAACATGTAGCCTTTTTACGCAGATACCGACAAGCTCTTCGTTAAGTTGAGCGGGAGTGTGGCTATCATCGATAGCGACGACGTTTGACTATTCCTCATTTTACCAAATATATATATATTGATGTGCCTGCTAGACAGACTGAGCACGATGTGAGCGACGGGACGCCGTTTGGAGACCCGTTTATGCTCAGCACGGTACATGCTGTATTCACCTTAAACTTTTTTAAAGAGGTACTTATTACCCCATTTTCGTTAGTTTCAAAGTTCTGTTGACGATGTCTCCTCGGAAAAGGTATGTCTTTTGAGCGATACTAGAGTGAAATAACCCTTGAGCCAAGCCCACGTTAATGTGCGACCATTTTTTTTTTGTAGGAGGTTGAAGCAGCCAAAGGCAGGAAAGTTATTGCTAAAAGCGAAGCTTTAGTAATAAGTCTCACTCGAGGGCAACTCGAAAAGTTTTTTAAGATTGCTCCTGAGTTGAAGCAAGAGATCCTCTCAACTTTCAGAAAATAGCAGTAAAAAAAAAGGATGAGAGGACCACGAGAAGTAAGGGCATCCGCCTAGTATAGTCTAGCTGCATGCATAATATGTAAATTCTTATAATAAAGTGAATCAATAATTTTATTTTGAACTTTACTAGTCGAAATCGCTCCTTAACTGATTGGCGCTGAGAATAACTTTTTGGCCGGGTTCAAAGGCCGGCAGTCCTAAATAAGGGCAGGTCGAGCAGCGAAAGGCATCTCCCAAATAACACTGTGGACAATAGATTTATTATAATAATAAAAAATTGAGCAAAAAATATCAAGACTCACATTTCCACAAGACGTAGTTGCTTGCCCAGTTTCCTCGTTCGGACCGTCTTGCTTCTGTAAAGACCCAAGCAGAATAGAAAAGGATCATTGAATTATTGTATATAAATTAAGTTCAAAATTAAGTTCAAAGAAGCTTAATTGCTATAAAATGCACGAGTTACATGAAATACCTTATCAAAACCACAAGTACAATTTTTACAGGCTCTCTTTTTCAGGCTGCGCGGGCCGCATTCAGGTACTTATAAAAATAATCAGAAAGTGCATTTAGTGGGAAAAACAATTTCTATAGACTAGTAAAAAAACTTTAAATCTGTATTAACGAGGTCATAAAATATATCGCGACAACCATAATAACGCCGTAGCCAGAAATTTTTTAAGAAAGTAACAGTAAACGTGCACTGTATTTAGTTTTATTATTAAACTATAGTAACTCGAAAATAAAGCAGAGCGGGAAAAGGTAAATAACATTTACTTTTAATATATAATTAGCTGCGAAAGTTACCACAATATACGCTGCTGAAGGATAAATGTGCGATTGCCTCAAAGTGTTCAGTATCGAAATTCTAAACTACTTATTTACCGGGAAGCCCAGTAGTTGTAAGGAATGCCCATATCTAAACCTAACTAACGCTTAAAATTTTAAACTATTATGAAATTATCCGTTATAGTAGGCATAAAAAAAATGCCTTTTATAACAAAGCACAAAATTTTCATAATAATTTTTATGAAGTTGTAATAATTTAACGCTACAAAAATAAACAGATGCAATAAATGTATGTCAACACTCTTAATTTAGTTACACAAAGAAAATTACGTAAGGGAGGATCGGGTTTTTGCCTATCGTTTTCGTCGAGCAAGTCATCTTCATCCAAAAATTCATGGTCAAGAGGTTGAGACGCACACGCCTGCCAGGTTTCACCGTATAATTTGAAATGTATTTATAATATATCGAACTTACATCTGCCTTCAAGGAAACAATAAGCGGGATACTTGCCCCAATTTCGTATTCAGGCTTATACGCTTTAATCTAATAACAGCTTTTTAACAATATAAACGAACAATTGCTTAAATTTAAAAATGATCCCCGGCCGACGGATAAGCGAATCATTTTTTAAGAGCTAACACAATATCCAAAAAACTAGCGCTTAATAAAATTAAACTAAAGTAACTATAAAAAGCTTTCAATTATATAATAAAAAAACTATAGAAAAATCTAAAAACTCGACTTCATATAAGGCATATGGGGTGTGTTATTTTACCTGAAGTAGCCTTATTTTGTCTAAATTCAAAATTTTTTTATCGTAATCCTTCTCAGTATCGATATTTTTAATGTCAAGAAGATTAACGCTAATAAATCCGCTTAATTTAAGGTCTTGAATAAGTTTACTTTCTGTTCTTAAATTTTTTAGACATATATCTTCAACTGCAACAGTCGGCTCACTTAAATACAATATACCTTGAAATATACTTATAAATTAGAATGTTTATATAAACCATCACCAATCTTTATGTTAAGTGATAAGCAACATAAAATATTAATTATTTAAATAATTTATATTATTTAAAAGAATACTATTTAAAATTACCTCCGATTCTCAGAAGCTTATTATATTTACCTAGAATCTTTCTTGTATGGCTTTCAAAAAATGGAAAAATAAAGCCAGAAATAATTACATCATAAGAAGTAAATTCAGACAAGTCTTCCAGAATGTGGTCTATAGGTTTTATTGTCAAGTTGGATGCAATTTTAACCTGCTCTCAAAATTAACTCATGCGTAAATTACAGCTGTATAGTCATTTATAAACCTTTCTCTTCAAATCACTATAAAACTGATGATTTCTTGCTTTGTAACTATCGATATCTCCAACAGACTTGACGCAAAGTAGTACTTTAGAAACCTCAGAAAATATCAAGTGTGCCATCTGATATAAAATATAGATCTTAACAAACGAAAAAAGAGGTCATATTACATTTACGATATTATGAGCTACAGCTTTAAGACACTTTACGGTATAGTTCCCAATACAATCATAACTTAGAGGGCGACTGCGCTGGTATGGCTGAATACCGTTAAGTAATAAAAAAGTTGATTGATTGAAAAGTGCAGCAACATGGTTGAGTAAATGTGGTGGCCTATTTCAAGCAACACTATTGGTTGTGAGGCTAAAGCAATTTTAAAAAATTTAGCTTGACTTGGTTAAAATCACTTTCATCATGAAAGCTGTGAAAGGAGAGAATTAGCAATCTTGATCGTATAAATTGTCTTATTGTTGCAATAGTTGTAATATCTTATAAAATAAGTCAAGAAGCTTCATTTTACTAGCGTCCATAACAGCCTCTAAGCTAGCCAGATTAATTTGTATGTAGGGGTAGTTAACAATTTGCAAGTTCTAGTATTAAGTTACAAGCGAAAATGCTTCCTTGGAAGAGGAACTATTATTTGAAAACTTTAGCGGTACCGTGATAATAAGAAATGTTTATCAAATAGATTAAATTTAAATTGGGAAAGCTCTTCGGACCTAAAATTTTTTAACGTAAAACAGGGATTTTAGCGGGCGTCTCAAAATTCTTTTGGATTGTAAAAGGTAACAATGCCGGAAGTTACCCACTTGATCTTAACTTTCGAAAAGAATATGGTTTTTTCCTTCTTACTATTTATAATGTATTACCAAAAATTTGACTTTTAAAAATTTGTTTTTTTTTTCTTGACATTAAGGGAGTGCGGTAACATTTAGGCGTATAAGGACTCGTGAACTAAAAAAGCTAACAAGACTAACTCATCTCTGTAGGTGATGACGTTTTTTTAAATAAAGATAAATATTATGGTTTTTTCCAAACTCTTTCGATACTCAAATTTTTTTGGAAAAAAGTTTATCTTCAGTTAGGTATGTTTTTGTGTCTGATCTCAATGTGTTCATTTACCTCTAATTTTGCTTCTATAAAGTTCTTAAGATTTAAATATTGCTTAATGGTTCGTTTTACTCTCTCCTATGTTTATTCCATAAGAAAAAAATACTTTATTTGTACAAGTTCACATAAAGATAAAGAGTAATCTCCATGTAGTTTCTGTCGACAGTAACTACTAAGTATCTAAATAGTTCAAAAGAGTATATTATTTTTGAAAGCTCCTTAGGTCCTAAGGTTTTAATCAACAATTGTCAAAAAATTTTATAAATATATATATATATATATATTTTTTTTAGCTATTTAGGGATTCTTACCGATTTGCATATAAAGAGTGCCTAAGTTTTTAATATCATCGGTAAAATTTTAAACAACTTTTACTACGCAATTCTGCTTTTTATAATTTCTTAATTATTTTAACCGATCAGTCGGTAAAACTGTAATGGAAGCAATGCTATATAACCTTGTTCTTTGTTTAAATTCCCCTTTAAAAAACAAGGCCTTTGCGAGTTTTCCTGCTGAAGAGTTATTGGTTAGTGGAAGTGTTTAGTAAAAGTGACGACAGTTTTAAAAATTTTTAAATAATGTAAAAGGAGGGAGTGCACTACTAGAAAGAGGTATTTCTTGTTTGGAAAAAGTTATTTTTGTCCTGTTAAAGTTGACATACTACAGTAAGGCTAAAATTAAAAGTGGGTCTAAAATACTGCTTTATCTATTTTATAATCTTGCAAAACAGTTCCCTAAGTCCGGGGCTCCGTTATGCGGTGGGGTGTCGTTATTTCTGTGTCAAGTGTAAGCACCTGCGTCATAGGTAATGTCTTAAACAAACAAATTGTTATGACTGAGACGATTCAGAAAGTGTTTCCTACTTCAGGTCATGCAAGTGAGCAGCCTGGTAAAACCATAGGGCGCCTGTAATAGATCGCAGCAGTCTATTTTAAATCGCATGAAGTCGCTTAATTTTTAGTTGTCTAGCATACGAACACGCCATGGTTGCATAAGTTAAAACTCGGAAGATTAATTTGCAATAAAGCTAAGTTTGTCGCTCATTGACAAGGAATTCTTTTCACACAAGGAGAAATCGTTCTTGAAAAGCTTACTTCGCTTTGTTAATGGGATAGTTAAATAATAATGGCACAAATATTGCTTGTCGGCCCAAACACCCAGGTATCTGATTTCTGTGTGCCAAGAAACTGCTTGGCTGCAAAGTGGTATAATAAATGCTTTCGTTTTAAATCTTCTCTTTGCTACAAATATAGCTTTGCTCTAAAGAAGGTTAATTACAATTCGCCACTGATCAAATCATACCTTAAGTTAGAAACATACATTTGCACGCGTTTTAAAGCTGGAGGAGAGTTGGAGTAACGCGTAGATACAACGCAAACCGTGGAGAGGTACTTCCAGGTCTAGTAATGTCCGGCCTGTATAAAGCAAACAAGGTGGTAGATAGCAGCTAATTTTGTGGGACTCTCATAGTCAGTTCTTTTATAGATGAGCTGGCATTTCTCACTTTGACATGATACGTCAGTAGGTGCAAAAAAGACTGAAGAAGCGAAAGAATATGACGTTGTATTCTCAGTAAAGATATTTTCATTAAAATCCAGCTTGCCATACCTTATCAATTTGCTTTTTCCACATCTATTATGCACATCTCGACTTATTGTCATTATACCCTTTTGTGATGTGTTCGGAAAAACGCAAAAGCTATTGTGTAGTAGAGTACTCCCTTTGAAATCCAAACTAAATCTCGGGTAAACAATTAGTTCTCTAAACAAACTTTCCAACAGTCAAAGTGTTACAGCTTCTTCTCCTATTATGTCAATACTTGATAAAACACTTCTAGAATGGTAGCTCTATGAAGGACACTTTAATTTTGTAAATGACCCGACTGCTGCCGTTTACCATCGTTCAGGAAATGTACAGAACTCAAAAGAATGGTTAATAAGTGAAACTAAGTCCTTAATTGGTGTCTCAGGCAGGTGTTTAAACATTTCGTTTGCTTACACATCAGAATTTGGCGCTTCTGTAGTATGTAAAAGGTTTATAACTAATAGCACTTATTCGTATCGATATCTCAAATTATTTCTCGACAGTTGTTACTGCGATTAGCTCTATTTTCGTTCTCAGGAGCTACTTCTTTTGTGATCTTGCAATGAATTAATAAACTTTACACGAAAACTTTCCGCATTAACATGGTATTCAAAGGTATAATCGGCCCCATTATTAAGGAGGGTTTTGCGATTTCTTATGGGTTTAACAAATCGTTAGCAAGAGGTAGGATTTATGAAATATTCAAGCTCCGCAAGTTTCATATCCCAAGTTTCATTGCGCAACTTGATGAAGTACTTGCATCTTTTGACTGGGGTTTCTGGAGGTTACGTACTTACGGTTTTGTCACCTTCTTAAGTTAAGGATTCAATTTCCTCAAATAAGAGTGTTTTGAGCGGAGAGGTCGTTTTTGTAACGAAAGCTTTCTATGTGCCCGTAATCGCTATTTTAAATTTATTCCAGTTCGTATACCTTCATAAGTAATTCAGAGGGTTAGACTCTAGAAGCCAGTTTCGTATAATACAAGGGGTGATCCGAGGGAAGAAGTACTAGCGTTCAAGTTTGAGACAACCGTATGTTTTTTGTAATGAGAATATCAAGAATATTTGAAGTGCCCTTTTCTAGCTATGCTTGTTAGTTCTTATAGGAGGGGAATCAAGGTAACCTATTTTTTCAGCATAGTTGTAGAGTTCGGTTCAATTATAATTTCATACTTAACCTTTCCAAGAAAAATTTTTGCAGTTTGAAGCGCCGCCAAATATTACAGCTTCACGCGGTCAAGGGCAGAGTTCAGTGCTTAAGGTAACAAAGGCAGTTCTGGGACCTTATACCAAGAGGTAATAATTACTGTTCCCAGGACATGAAGATTGATATTAATAGCCCCTTCTTCAATAATTTAAGTTAACCGGCGGTATGAATAATTGTGCTATCTGCTTTTTAATAAAAACGGCTGCTCCACCTTCTATTGATATGTCCTGCCATGCCGGTAGAGCACGTAACTAGGGAAATTCATTAGATGTGCTAATTTTCGATGAGTTTCACTTATTAAAACACTATTAACTCTTTGGCTATCAAAAAACTGTGAAACTCTTCTCTTTTGAATAGATGAGTGTCCGCGTTCTAAAGTAATATGCGAACATATTCAAGCTGGCGATGAGAGGTTATCTTTAACGACTTAAGAAGATCGTTTAACATTCTTGCCATTGCTTGAATTGGCGTTGGGAGATATTTAATTTTAGATTTTTTAATTTGTCTTCATATACGGCAGATGCGTAGCTCTTCTTGTTGACTGGTTAAATTACTTTTTGATAAAGTTAGTAATTTTGAGTATTTTTAAGAGGAACAATTATTTATCTGTGAATTCGTCCTCTTGACGAAGTAGACATATTTAAATCTCTCCAAGTTCCCTTAAAATTGAAATTCTTTTAATTAAATGTATCAAATATAAGGGTTTGCTAGCTCGAGGGTATATAGTATTCCTCTACAATTTAAAGTGTTTTGGCAGACGTTGGCCCGAATTTTATTATTACTGTTATTTGTGTATTTATATATAACCGCTCTTGGTTTTGGGTGTTTCTCGAGAGAGTGCTAGATTATTAAATTGACTAACTAAAGTTTCTTTTAATCCTCCGGTTTCCTATATTATTTTTTACTTTATAATATACTAATCCTCGACACTATTAACTTGAAAAATCATTAATTTGGCTTCTAACCACTGGGAAATACGTGAATATGAAAGGTAGGTTACTTCGAAGTTAAAATTTATTTAAAAAGGGAACTTAATAAAGCCAAAATAAGGTATGCAAAGGATATAAAAAATGTAATTATTATAATTTTAGGTGGTAATGCGAAAGTTACTTAAAAGTTAGAGTTCAGACTGGAAGTTAAAAACTGATCAAGTAGTAATAACCGTAGTAGGTTTATCTCGTTAGAGTAATTCCTGCAAGTTGTATGAAAATAATGTATTTTAGTAAATAAGGACAATAAAGTTGATAGAAATTATACTCGTGTTTCGTTGAAAACTTGTGTCTCTGGATCGAATTTATTGTCTAATAAGTGTTAAATAGGTTATAGTAAAGCGAGCGCATACTCATTACTTATATTAAACAAAAAAAAAGGTATATAGCGTACTTGGTGGGTCTCATTACGGTACTATCAGAAGTGTAGAAGCAAGTAAGTTTAGTATGAATAAACGTTCGACACGGCCTTCTCATCGAAATTGATTTTTTACTTGGAAGGGGTTATTATGAGTTATTCACTAAAAATTTATGAAGTTAGCAATGAAATAGGAATCGTGAAATGGTTTAAACTGGAAAAATGTTCATGGTAGGGAGATGCCCCAAGAAGAAAAAGAAGAAGACAGTTACATTTATGGTGAGAAAATGAAAGGTGAACTGTATCGTAATGACTTCGCCGATATCGACAGAAAGGAAAGTGGGATTCCGATTGATGACTGGTAAAATCGTTAATGAGGCTATGTAAATAGGTAAGCGATTACTGAGAAAGGGATCATTAATGAGATTGTAGCCGCTCAGGTATTGAGCGGAAAGGTAAGTTTGGTGTGTAATAAAGGATGAACTAAAGCTGAACTTAGTACAACGTGAACCGAAAAACATCTAGTTATTGGGATCTTTAGAGTTTTCTAAGATTAAAATTGGAAATACTGGCACGTGACAGTCCCTAAATTAGGTTTGGATAAAGCTGAAAATCATTTACAGCGTACACCCGAGGCCTATATGAAAGTAATGGTTTCAGAAGTTTAAATGAAAAGTGCTTATAAATCAATATACTTTGCCCAACTAGAAGTTAATTAATATAAAAGCGAGAAACAACAGTTATTTCACTATCCTGTATAATGCTAAAGAATTCTATTTGCTAGAGTTAGATAAAGGAAGTAGAAAACATGTTTTTTATTAACCGAACGAACGTACATTGCACTGGACTACCTTTAGGGAATGTTGATGTAATACTTGTTTTTAGAAAGGGATGGACGCCATACCCTCTGGGCTTAAAGACTTCTACAGTTCGGTCAATGATTGCTTAATATGTAGGGAAACTAAGTGAGGACATCATAGTTATTTGTGTAACTTGGTTACTAGATATAAATAGTTTAATGCCAAATTAAGGATGAAAGAGAAATTTAAATTTTAAAAAAAATGTTCTTTAATGTGAAAAGTTTTAAAATTTTAAAGGATTTGAATGTAGTAGCGTACTTTAAAGACAACGACGGAGACTTCAAAGGCAGAAGTAGCCCTATTATCCTAAAATAGTATGATGAATAGGGGAAAGAAAATAGGTTATCGCTTTTGAACTTGTAAAAAGATTTTAAATAGTAATTTTCAACAACTTCTCTGCCTAGTCAGAAAATAAACTTCAACCCCAGCAGGAAATGAGTAATGATCAAAAGACAAATTGTAGAAGGTTTGATCCGTACAGGTGAGTGTAGGCTCTCTAAAAGGGCTATATCCAGTAATTTTACCTACCTAGCCTCGAATTGGTTTGACGAAAACCCCCTTGCTTTCCAATAAAGTATCATAGGAAATTTTCCCTTATTTTTTTCAATTATTTTGGCTTGTTTGAGTTAAAAATTGAGTCGCTTATTGATTTGGAAATTTGTGTGCTTATTGCTTCCTTTAGAAAGTTAGCAAAAATATGTTTGATAATAATCTTATTTAACTATAACACAAGGATTTTTTGTAGTGTGTTATTTTAAAGACATTTTGTCTCCACTAAGGGTTGGCAACGAAGACGTTATAGTAGCACGTCAAATATTTTAATTTAATTAAAGTGGCACCCTGGAACAAAAAGGTTGGCTACCGTTGAGCAACAATATGCCCTCAAGTGCAACAGACCTGAATTTTTAAGCCAAAAATAGTAAAAATATTTGAATTTTTAATTGCTTTATATTTAAATTTCACAAAGTCTGGAGTACAATTCTTTCACTTTACGGCGATACACTTTCTGATCCTCGCATAATTGCACTAAGCGAGAAAACTAATTTTTTTTTTTATAAGCTCAATTAATAATATTACCAATAGTGTGTAATTTTTCCTGTATTTGAACGTTGAACAGTTCGTACCTTTCCATGTTGTCGCGTTCTAAAACTTCCACGTGGTCTTTCATGTTTTGCCAAAATGTATTTTGTGCTTCTTGAATGTGCTGACGAAGTTCTAAAACATTCGCATTGTAAAGGTTATAAAGTTTTAAGGGCTAAAAATTTATAATAAAAGAACCTTCGAGCATAATAATGTCAGACTCTCGTTTAGCATTGACTCTTTCTATCAAATGATTGAGTTCTTGAATTAATTTTCTGGCTCCCTCGTGGTCAATAAGAGGGCTCGAAGAATTGTTATTAGATAAGGTATAGGTAGATTTGAAGAAAAAAACAATTCTTACTTCCTATTTTAAAGGTCTCTTTTACCGTATAAAGAACAAATCATTGGAAGAATAAAGTTATGTTTACAATATATAGTATAGATAACCAGCGTTTATATATAGTGCACGGGGAGAAGGCTAATGATTAAGTGAATTTTTTAGGCATACTAGATGTCTGGAGGGTAGGATTATTTAATCGGTTAAAAATTTATTAATTTTCCATCCTGGGTAAAAGTAAGATGAAAGCCAAGGGTAACAATTTGGTGTTAGGAACTATACCTCCAACATTATGCTAACAAAACTCTCACATAAAGGCAACTAAGCCCTCCATAGGGATAAATAAAAAATAATAGATTTGTTAACTGTTGGACTACAGAGGTGATCAGCCGAGCGTGGCAAAAACTAAAAATTATATATAATTACAGATCCGCAGACGCATGATCCAAAATAATTTCCTTCTCAATGGATGCTTTTGATATTGCTTCTAGTCCTTTATGATTAACACTCATCAGGATTATAAAAATAACTATACGTAATAGTTAAAACAACATTTCTAACATAAAAAAATAGAACCTTACTAAGTCCTTATTACTAGATCATATAATAATTTATAAATATTATCTATTACAATAGTTTTAATTATTTAAGTTATGCGATGCAATTTTAAGTGCTTTGAAAATTGTAATAGTTGGTTTTCAAAAAGAGAGCATTACTATAATACCTATTACTTGAACTGGTTGATCCATTGACTTATCTTTATTATTATAATATAGTTTAATCAAAGGAATTACATAAAAGTTGTATTACTTTGTAATAGGGGATTCTAATATATACCTTTTTTTTTGGCGGAATTTTTTTTTTTTTTAATGTTCACCTACCAAAATTTTTAAAGAATAGAGCAAAACGTTTTTATAAGGTAAAGCAACCTCAACTACGTTATATCCTAGGAAAACCCATATTTGATCAAAAGATATCACGGTGGAAGAACTTTAATCTTAACCTTGGGAAAGATTTAATGGAAAAAATCTAAAGAAAGTGTTGGGCACCTTTTATGCGCGCCAAAAATAAAAATTTAAGGCGTTAAACATAGCTAAACTGAGATTATATAAACACTCAAGTGAAAATCTCACAAAAAACTTTTAAAGGCTAAAAGATATTTAGAACCTTTATTAGGTGTTGCTGCATTGGCACTTATGAAATTCTACGCTCTTCAAAGACCCTTTTATGATTAAGATGAAAAGTCAAAAGGCTATAAGTGTAGAATAACTTCATCTTATAGATTTATAAAAACATTTCGCAGCTGGCTAAGGGCCTTGTTTTTTTTTTTTCCAGATAAGCTCGTTAACTATATTACTGATCTACTTATTCCTTAATGAGTTTAAAAATAGACTAGAAAGCTTAGCTAACTGTTTAAAATCCTATTGTTTTATAGAACTCGGTTGTAGTATACTCCGAACTGTGGAAAAAATGCTTAGTGCAATTTGTCACCCTAACTTCCTGTAATCGTTCCAAAGTAGGTGTGTTAGCTACTAACCAGAGTCAGCTTTATAAAGGAAACAAGTCTCACCAAAGTTTTACGTAAGGTTCAAAAGGATTTATCTGACCACCTCTGCGGAGAGTAGATCCGCAGTAAGGAGTGCCAGATATTAGTACGCATAAGCTGTGGCGAGTAATCAGTTACAAGAAAAGTCTCACCAAAGATTTCCTTATACAACGCAAAAACGTGGTAGGACGAGCTCAAGTATCCTCTGATGATAATAGCCAAGTAACAACATAGAATCTAACATCTAATATAGAATTTAAGCGAACCCCAGGATTTTACCAGTTTTTAAAGCAAATCTTATGGAGTGGAATATTAAGTCACTAACACCACCTTTTTTACTTCGCGGAGCAGCCCAAATCTGAGCTCAGAGCTTACCTAAAATTAGGCACCATAATCAATATTTTTCGCTTGTTAAGCACGAGTTTTAAAGAAACACGAGACTATTAGAACCAGAAACTGTGATCTGAACCGACGGGAACCGTTACATTAATTTTATGCGTTAATGATCTGACTACTAAGCTGCGTTCACAACATACACTTTGGCTAATGAATTCCGTACACATTTTCTAGAGAAGCTAACTGGTTGAATAAGATTATAAGTTTTAATAAAAGTTATTGCCGTAGCACTGCGGTTAGAATTTGGCGCAGCCTTCTCTTCAATCTTTTACAGTTGCACATTTATTCGCCATTATAAACTGAATAATTTGTCGAACGGAAGTGTGTACTTAATTCTAGGACGTATCCTATCAACCTATTAGTCAACCATGCTTTTGTAAACTGCCGGAAAGTTTTGCCTCAAGAAGAATTAATGAATTTTTTTTTAAAGCATTACCATCATGCAAATTTTTGTTTAATAAGATATTTGATCTAAGATAATCTATTTTACGGCCCAATACTATTTTGAAAGTTTCTTAATATATTTTATATTTAAAATTACACCCAGTTAAAGTAAGCTATAAATTTCTAGCGTTAATAATTATTTTTTACATAACTTGTTTTCCAGATTTTACCTTATTGAAAATATATATTTTATTTGATAAAGATTAGGAGGGAATTCTAGAATTTTTTCTAATTTTTATGTATACATCTTGTATATTTATTTAATATTTTTTTTATACTTGTATTCACTTTACTTATTGATTTTAATTTTTATTTATTCCAAATTTTAGAAAAAATTGGGAAAGAAGTTATATACTTAAGGTTTATAAGAATTTATTATTTGTTGGAGTTAACTCTTAATCACGTGCTTAAACAGGCGTCTATATAAGTACTTCATACAATGTGCTTATACCACGGGACGTCTTTATTTTTGTCCCACATTTTTTATTTCTCCCTGAAGGTAACACCCTTCCTCTACGAAACAACAAAAACGACCGCACCTCTTTTTCCTCTCAGATAAAAAATCTGTGGCTCTGCCCACGGCAAGCCCTCAAGTTGAAGTCGAAGATCCTCTTTCTCAAGCCCTTGCGCTCCGAAAGTCCGTATCTTTAGACTCATGCGCTTTAGTAGCCCTTCCTACGAGTTTCCCATGGAGGCTCTGTCGAATTTTTGGCGAATATTAAGGTGAACTCAAATACTAATCCTTTTTCGTACTTAGACGGAAAGAACTTTTCAGCCTGGAAGGGAAGGTTTCCTGTGCTAGTCACTGTAAATGTATGTGATTAGAATGAACCCTATATGGCTCACACTGCGGTGCTTGCAAAACACTACGCCCGCGCTGCCAGTCCCCTTATCCTCTCCTTCGGCGATCAGACAATTAATTACGTACTCACCACGGAGACCCCACGCTAAGTATGGAAATCGCTTCTTTTACAGCCCGAGAGGAAATCGACCCAACGCCGATTCTACCTCAAACACTAATTGTACCGCTTAAGCCAGTCAGACTACTCAAGTGTACAGAAATACGCAAAGGAAGTGAGGATGACTGCGTCACAGTAACCTACATTTCTAAGAGGTACTTAATTAGTGACGATGGCATGTTGGTCGCTTTCCATAAGCGGTCTACCAGACGAACGCCCCAGCCTCATTCATATCATCTAATCCCAAACTGAGCCTTCTTTTTTAGCTCGCTATTACGGCGATTTTCGATAGGACCTTAAAATGGCCAACTAGAGTGACAATGCGAATACTGTGCCTACCGCTTGGAGGGGACACGGGAAGAGAGAGAGGAGAAGAGGAAGAAACAATGGCATTTGTTGGGGCTGCAACAAAAGTTTCTCGAAGTGTTGTACCAAGTGGCCGAAGTGTTCATGATCAGGATAAGCCTCAGCAAACTGCCGTCTGTGTAATTCTTGCGAGACATACTTTCTCATGCAAGAATGACTTGAGACCATAGGTAACAATGGTGTGGATCTACACACTGCAATTAATAATCGCTTAGGGGGATGAGTAATTTCAGTTATGCACAAACCAAGGCCCCCTTGGATCTCTGGTACCGTCGCCTTGGACATAATCAGAAACGTTTGCTGATGGGCATGTTAAAGAATAATACCGCCGATAATTCAAGTATCACGTAAACTGGTGAAGCCACTTTGTGTTAAAGTTGCCAATCAGCTAAAGGATACCATTGAACTTTGCGCACGAAAACTCCTTGAAAGCTACACGGGTTTATGAAATAGTGTACTTCGATATTTTGCGACTAATGACTCCTGTAGCGTACTCTGTTATAGATTTGTCTTGTCTTTTGTCTGTGCTTTTACAGAGAGGTTAATTTGGTACCTGTTGACACAAAGAGTGATGTTTCCAAGGTTATACTTGATCCCGTCCGACGGTGTAATAAGTCTTATTAAAATGGTAAGGTAACTTTTTATTGTAACAATGCACAGAAATTTTTATTTCGAGGACTCGTCGACGATTAACCTTTAAAGGATCATTGTTCCCAAAGCATAATGGAATTGTTAAAAGGAACAATCAGAAGTATTTAAGACAGTGAGAGCTATGTTATATGATTCTAATTTAAAAAAGTACCTTTACGGAGGATCTCTATTTTAAAGTGCACAAATCAAGAATTGTGTAAGTACCAGTCGTGTCGTCCACTCTACTACTTATATCAATTAATACATTCACTTAAGCAGGGCATGAAAAGTTTTTGTCTTTTTGGAACGAGAGCTTATACTCTGAACTATCCTCTGGGTGGATAGCTTGGGGATCGAAGCACTAAAAGATTTCCATCACTCTGTACCCGAAGAAATACAAATTTAAAATGTAGGGCCTCAAAGCTTTTAAAATACTAAGCATTATAGATGTAACCTTTGATGAGCCTTTGTATCCCAAAATACAATGCGTCCACCCGCAAACTCGGATGCTACACCTACTGGGTTAGTAACACTTGACACGGCAAAAGAAAAATAAGAAAAATTGATAAATAAGTAAAGTATTTATATTTTCTTTGTAATTTTTTATAAAAAAATAAATAGTATAATAAAACTACTTTATAACTATTAATTTTAAAAAAATAAGTAACTGAAAAAAATAACTTCTAAAATAAATATATAAATAATTTTACTTGATAATTTTTTTTTACATATATATGAAAATATGGTAAAAGTATTTATAATAATAATTTATAATCAACTGCTTAAAAATTTTCTTTTTTAAAATAAGTAATAGAAAAATAAATAAAAATAATAAACTGTTTTATAATTTTTTTAAATAAAATAAATAATAGTTAATAAAAGTCGTAAACAATCAACTCTGCTTTATAAATTATTAATAAAAAATAATAATAAATAATAATAGAAAATCAACTGCTTTATAACTTCTAAAAAATAAGTAAGAGAAAATAATAATAAAAATAATATATAATCAACTGCTATATTATCTGTTTCTAACTTTTTTCCTAAAATAATATAAAAATAAATAATTATAATAATAAAAGTTTACATCATTTATAAAAAAGCAAAAAGTATAAACAAGAATAAAAGAAAGTTTATCTTTAATACTTTATATACAATAAGCGCGTGACGGAAGCTTAGAGAGCCGTAGTGCATATGCTCGCCTGATAATAAAATATATATCATAAAAAATTACATTATAAAAGAAATTTGGGCTTCATTACAAAGTTAGAAGTTTTCATTAATATAAAATTGGTATTTTATTACAAATATGACTATTTGGGTTATATTTAGTGTTCTTTTATATTAAAAAGTTATTTTTATTTTTTATATTTTTTTATTAACAGTTCATATATAAATGAAATATAATAGGTCAAATAAAATCTTTACAAAAAATATTCACAGAACAGTTGGTAGATTTTGAAATTCTAATGCAAAAATATAATGATTGCGACAATAACTAATAAATCTTTTTTAGAAGTTTCTAAATTTTTATAATAATTTTGTAACTAAAAAATTTAAGAGAACATTAGAAATTTTGTTATTTTTTTAAGCCAGTACCACTATTTATATAATTATTATTACTTGTATAATAATTACTAAAAATATATGTACTTAATTAAAAAAAAATTGTTTTATATTAAAATAAGCTATTGAATAAATAATAAAAACCAATTTTTATATAAATATACATGTATATATACTATTAATACAGAGGATAAAAAATTAGTAAACAAACTTTAATTCTTAAAGAATTAACAATAAAAAAAATCAATATTTTTATAATAAACAAAATAAAAATAAATATATAAAATAAAAATTAGTTTTATACAAAATAATAAATTTAAAAATCTTTAAATAACGTTAAATAAAAAATTTATCAAAAAAGCATTTTAATAATTTACATATAAATTTTTCTATAACTAGCTATTAATTTTTAATAATACAATTTACTTATATAAAATACAAATAAAAAAAATTCTAAAAAAAAAATTATAATATCTGACTATAATTATAATTTTATTATAAAAAAATATTTATTTTACTTTCATACAATTTTTATTTTTATTTTTACTTCTACATCTAATATTATTTATTGTCAACTTCATAAAAAATTAATAAAATTTCAATATATACACATGTATGTCATATACTTTATCATAACTTCCTCTGAAAAAATAAAAAATCTAATATAAATTTTTTATAACAGAAAAATTCTAACTTTTCAATAATATTAATGAATGGAAAATTTGAATGAAAAAAAAAAAAAACACCTTTTTTTAAGGTGTACGGATCCATCATTTCAAAAAAAGTCATGCACTTAAGAAACTTTTCAATAAACTGTCATAAGTATTTTATTAGTACTGTAACGTGTATTAATATTGAAATTATAATCAGTATAACTACTATTAATACTAGTTTTCTCATTATTATTGCTGTTATTATAATCATTAATCTTGTGTTAATTTATCATTATTATTACTAAGTACACCTATAAAGACTTCGTAGTTAGGTTTTATCATTTTTTTTGTGTACTACAACATATAAAAATGAATCAACTAACCAGTAAAAAATTTTCAATTATTAATAAAAATACATAAAATAAGTTTTATTATTTACTTTTATATAAAAAAATATTATTATTTATAACAACATAAAATATTTTTTAAAAAAGAATTTTCATATGAATTATTTACCATTAATAGTATTTTGTACGTAAACATAATTGTTAAATATAAATGTTATATTAAGTATAATAACTATAACAAATATTAAAGTTTTATATAAATATTAATAAAATAACATAGTCTGCACTATCAAAAAACTCAAGATGTTGACAATAGTATATAATACTTCCATATATAATAAAAGATTATGAAAAAAACCGAATCGTAGCGGTCGCTTAAAATATAATGAGAGACATGGTCCAAATCCTGAAGTTTTTAATAATAATAATAATAATAAATTTCTTTAAAAAAAACTATACAAAAATTGATGTTTACTTTTATTAATAAATATACTTAAACTAATTAAAACATTCGTAAAACAAAGCTATACACATAAATATACTGAAAGAAAAATACAATGATAAAAAAAATTGATAAAAAGAGAAAGAGTATTTAAGAATTATTATAAAAAGTTTATTATTAATATCATTAAAATGTAGAAAAATATTTCCAACAAAACAAAAAATATTTAATAAAATTATTATAATATTTATTTATAAGAAAAAATATTGTACAAGGTATCCATTCTTAATAAAACCAAAATACAAAAATGTAAAGTATAACTTATTAATAATGAAAAATCGTATATAAAAATAATTTATAAAAAAACGAAAATTATTAGTAAAATTGATATAATTTTTTATTGTGTAATAAAGAAAAAGGTATACGAAATTATTTTATATAGAACAAAAATGAATAATAATATTAATAAAATTTTTATTAATGAAAAAATGGAAATAAAATATTTTCATACAAAAAAATGAATGGAAAAGTTAATATGTTTTTATTAATAAAAAAAGTTGTACAGAGAATGAAATAGTATATAAATACATTTTTTATTAATATAAAAAATTGTTCAGAAGATAATTTAATTCAAAAACGAAAATAAAGAAATAGTACAAAAAATATTTTTATAGATCAAAAAAATTAATTAGTAAAATTAATATAATTTTCATAATAAAATATAGTACAAAATATTTTATAAAAAAATTAAAATACTTAGTAAAATAAATTTAATTTAGATTATTAATAATAACTGTACAAAAAATAGTTTATAATTTCTAATTATAATCAAAATAATAAAAGCTGTACAAAAATTAAGCACTAAAAAATAATTTGTTCATAAAAAAGAAAAAAATTGAACTAAACAAAAATTTTTATGTATTTTTAATTAAAATAAAATTAATAAAAAATTGTACTAAAGAAATTTATTAAAAAAATGATATAATTTCAGTCTATAAGAATAATAAAAATTGTTAAAAATATAATATCGTACAATTTAAATTTGTAATAATAATGAATGTACAGAATAATATATAAGATAGAAAAAGAAAATGATAAAATTAATATATAAAAAGAGCACAGGATAGCCTTATATGGATATTAAAAATATATATAAATATACTTTATATTAAAAAATTTACTTTATATAATAGTTTATTTATTAATAATAAAAAATATAGAGAGATAAACTTTACACCAATAAATTTTTTTAACAATAGTTTCAATGTAAACATTTTAAAAATATATTGAACTAATAAAACTCGTATTAAAAGAATTTATAAAGAAATGAAGCCTTTTTAATATTAAAAATACATATACAGAAAGTATATTTTATATAAAAAGTTTTTAATATTAATAACAAATATATATATAAAGTATATCTTCTATATTAAAAATTATAAATAAGTCATATAATAATAATTTAATATAAAATAAAATATATTTTATAATAAAAAAAATCATTAAAAAATAAAAATTTAATATCGGCAGCTTAAAAATTTGCACAAAAAATATTTTAATTTCATAAATATAATTATAGAAAAAATATTAAAAATAATAATATTTCACTATCAGTTGAAAATATTAACAAAAAATATACTTTATACTTAAAAATTTTATGGTATTATACTTTTCTGTCACCATGTAAAGAATATATACTAATAAAAACTTTATACCAAAGATTTATAAATATTCATTAGTTTCAAAATAAATATTAAAAGAAAAATATATAAAATATACTTTATATTAAAAAAATCATAAAATATTAATAGTTTCCATGTTAATATCTATATGAATTACGATATTATAGAAAGTTATAAATAATAAGAGTTGAAATAATAAATTAAAAAAAAAGTTATTTTATATAATTTAAATAAAAAGAATAACAATATAAACAAATTTAAAAAAAAAAGAAACTTTTTATAATAACATTAAAAATTGTATAAATAAATAAACATTTACATTATAAAACAAATATACATTAAATAAATAATAATAAATTTGTATTAAATAATAAAAAAAACTAATCTTTTAATTTTTATTAGAATTCACAAAAAAATTGTAATCAACATTTTAAGGAATTTTTAGTACAAAAGTTTGCGTTGCTCTGAATAAAAATTTTACATATATCATGGAGAATTCTGGTTTAAAAATCCGTTGTTTTAGTCAATATTAGCGAAGTTCACTAAAAATTGTGACTTAATTTAATTTTTTAATTAATGAAATTATAAATTAAAATTTTTAGAGATTTATAAAATATAAGTTTTTATTTGTTGGTTCTCTAGAAAAAGTATTATAATAAATCACATAATTAAGTTTTTTATATGGCAAATCTCCTCTGCTACTTTGTTAGGTTTATCAAAATATAACAAATTGCACCGAAATCTTGACTTGCCAATAAAAAATAAATGGAAGGGTGTTAACTGAGCCTATTAAGTTTTAGAGTTAAAGTAAAGAATATACAAAGAATGCATTAAACGATCAACAATGAAATAAAACTTTAATAAATTATAAATAAAAATTTTAAGAAGTATAATAATAATAATAATAATAATAATAATAATAATAATAATAATAATAATAATAATAATAATAATAATAATAATAATGAAAACCCGAATAATTTCTGATACATGCATGTAATACGGCAAACTTCTTGTACAATCTATCGTTTCTATAATAAAAATAAATATATAAATAAACAAATACATAATAAAAGGCTCGCCTGTATCCGAATATTTATGAACGAGGTCTCCAATAGTATTCATGAAAACATCAAAGATAAGTTTTTTATTAGCGAGCTTCTTAACAACTTGAATTAAAATATCATTAAAAAGTTTGAAAAAAAAAGGGGCATCCAACCAACCAGAAGAAGTCGTGAATAACTGCACGCTTATGCTGCTTATGGACTCTTCTTGGGGCAGCTCGTCGCCTTCAACGGTGGATAACATCCTATAATTACTATGAAAAGTTTTTATTATATGAAGATAATTATGCATAAACTGGTATAACAATATTTTAATAAATAAATGTTTGGTGTTATAAAAGTTTTAGTAATAAAAAACCTTTTAAAAACTTTAATAGTGATACAAAAAATGATTGTTACATAAAAACTTAAATATTAATATATAAAAATATATTTATTAAAACTTTAAAATTTTAAAGTAAAACTTTGCAAAAAAAAGTGGAGGAAAATTTTCATATATAAATTCTAATATTTATATATGAAAAACTGAAATTTTTTATTAAAAAGAAAAAAAAAACTATTAGAAAAACTTTAAAATTTTTTAAATAAAATTTTGCGAAATGTTGACTTAAACACCCTATTTTATAAATTTTAATATTTAATAAAAACAATTATGATAGAAAAACTTTTGTGAAGAAATATTTCTATTTTATTAGTAAAAGTTCTGTAAAAAATTGATTAGTAACTTTTTTAATATAAACTTTATTATTAATATATAAATACAAAACTTTTATTGAAACTTTTATATTTTATCAATACATATTTTGCAAAAAGTTAATGCTTTTATTAAAGAACTTTAATATGTTATAAGTAAAAGATTTCGCAAAAAATAGAGTAAAAAACTAAAATAATTCAAACTTAAATACTAATATTTAAAAAAAAAATTGATAGAATAAAATTTTCCTTAAAAAAAAATATATAAAATAAAATTATTATATAACTTTTTGTATTAATGGCTTAAAAATTAATAACTTGTATTTATAAACCTTGATGAATAGTTACTTTGGTAAAAAAATATATTTATAAACTTTGAAAAAATTTTATATTATAAAAAAAAATGTTTGTAAAAAGTTTATATGGCAAACAATTTGCTATTAACTGTATTTTAAATTATATAATAAATATAAAAAATAGTTAAATACAAAATTTATAAATAAAAATGTTAAAAAATATTCTTAAAATAAAAAAAATTCGAGATCAATAAATATGTGATAATCTATAAAATAAAATTTATATTTATATAAAATTATTAGATAATAAAATTAACTAAAATAAAAAGTTCTTCTTAGAAATACAAACAAATTCATATATAAACTTGAATGACGTTTTCATTAAAAAGTTGATTAAATAGAATTATTAATGAAATTAAAGCCTTTAAATAATATATAAAAGTGTTATATTAGAAATGAAGTTTTAATAATATTTTTAAATATCAATAACAAATCTAGAACCTAAAATATTCATTTAAAAGTTGATATTGCAAACAATAAAGCTTTAATATTAATAAAAGTAAAATACTTCATATTTATATAGAAAAAGTATTAAAAAATAATATTCTCGTAAAAATGTAGGAAACTTTTATAATAAAAATATCTAATAATTATAAAAAAAAATTTGAACTAATGTTTTTGTAATACAATTGATATCGGATAATCTATTAAAGATTTATTATTAAGAAAAGCACAATACTTCAATAATATCGTATAAAAGTATTAAATTTTAAAAATCATTTTGTAATAAATATTTATATACATAAAAAAACTTCATAAAAAAGTTATTTATAAAAAATTGATAACGCAAAAAATAATAAAAAATCCTATAAGTAATATTTAATATTTATAAATAAAACTGATATCCCAAAACCTATGAAAGTAAAGTTTTAATATATAAACCTCTCGTTTAAAAAAAATAATAAAACTTTTATAAAAAAATATACTTAAATATTATATATAAGCTCTAAAAAAATACAGCAAAACTCTGTAACATAATATAAAAAGAAAATAAAAAGTATAGAATCATAAAAAAATAATAAACAATAATATTTAAGAAAAAAATTAGAAAGAATTATTATGAAACAAGTAATAAAAAATATTCTTATTATAATAATAATAACTTAAAAAATTTGTGTTTATTATTAATAATATAAATAAAAGTTAATAAAAAATTAATAAATAAAAAAGGATTTTTATAGTAAACATTACATGTATAACTTTATATACTATACAAAATAAAAGTTTATATATATAAAGTACATAATAATTTTACATATAAATAAAAACTTTATGATTTATTTTGATATATGATAGATATATAAAAAGTACTATAAATTTCTTAGATATTTTTTGAAAAGTTTTTTATAAGTATTATTATTCTTAAATATAAATAAAAAAAAGAAAAAAAATATAATGACAGGGAATATTTATAAAAGTAATAATGATAAATATTTTTTTTATAAAAATTACTATTATTATTATTAAAAAGGAAAAAACGAGTAGAAAAATGTACTAACATAAAAAATTTTAATGATAATAAAGTAAAAAATATTATTCTTAATATATATAAGAAAAAACGAGGAAACAATATTTTATAAATACTTAATAGAAAGTATTATAATTAGTATAAATAAGAAATGAAGAGGAAAAAATAAATATAAATAGAATTACTAATAATGAAAATTAAAAAAGTATTACTGTTATTATTGAAAAAGGCAATAAAAAAAAGATAAACAGAAAAATATTTAAAATAAAACAAAAAAGTATAAAAAATATTATTTACTTTTTATTAAATTATTTATTTTTATATATAAACTATAAAAACCAGCAATAAATAATCCTCAAACTTAAGCGAAACGAGTCGTCCATCATTAATCCTTTCATATAAAGTTAGCTAAAGCGAACTCGTAAAACCTTCCACCTATCAGAAATAAGAATGGTTAGAATATTAACAGTTAAAATAGTAAAGTAATAACAATAATAGTAATGATAATATGATTATTAACGATTGAAACAGTGAAGGAATAATAATAGTAATAATATTAACAACTAATATTAACAGTTATAATAGTGAAATTATAATAATAATAATATAGTGAAAGTAATAGTAACAATAATAATAGTGGTAATAATATTAGTAACAAATAAATAGTAAAAATAATAGTAATAGTAATAATAACAGCAAAAGGAATAACAAAAATACTAAAATAATGATAATTGTATTATTATTTATTACAATTTATTCAGAGAAAGAAGTTAACAATAAAAAAAAGTAATAATTTCATTAACAATTGGTATAAATTAGTAAAGGTAATAGTTATAATAGTTACAGTATTATTAATAATAAAAATTATAATAATGAAAGTATTAATAATAAAGAAAACAATAAAAATAGTATTAATATCATTCAAACAAAAGTAATAATAATTAATAAAAGCAATAGTGATAATGATAATAAAAATGAACAATCATGTAAATAAAAGTAATATTGATAATAGCAGTAATAGTAATGATAATAAAAATGATAATACTAAAATTAGAAAAATAAAAGCAAAACTTTTTCAAAACTAGTTTTTTGCAATAAAAAAAAAAAATGAGACGCTGTATCTCTTAATGGAGGATGACCTACCAATGAGTAACAGTCAAGTCGCCTTTTATAAAAAGTTCCAAAGGCGAAGAGCCTTATAAATAAATAATAAGAAAGTTACATAACATTAATGAATAATATCGAAAAAAATAGTGAAGAGAAGGGAAAATAGTGAAACCTCATCATATTAGTATTACTTCTATTTTTGATAAAAATATAACAGTTAATGAGGAGCGAAGTTTTTAAAAAATTATAAATAGGTAACAAAATATATCCGTTGTAAGAATTTCATTATAAAAATAATTTCTTGTTGCCGAAAAAAATAATGAACTGCTTAAACCAGGATATTATAATAATAATAAAAAGCTGATTTCTACCAATCAACTGTAACATACGAATTTACTGGCCAATAAGCTTTCAACTTAAATTTTTTTAAATAATGGAACTTTATTTAACCTTTCCAAAAAACTTTTATATAAAAAATATAAACTTTATATTATTTATTATTCTAGTGAGTAAACATAAGAGTTCCTTTTTTTAAGCAATGTAATACAATATACTTTTTATGAAATGTAAAACTTTATTTTGTTTCATTATTATAATATATAGAATTTTAGTTAAGTTTTTAAAAACCTTATTAAAAGAATATAAGCTTTTTATGATAAATAAAAGTAAATTTCTTTCTTACATATTTATGGATACAAGTAAATAAATATAAATAGAAAAAATTATATTTTTTTCTTCATTTTTGTATAAAAATTTTATTAAAGTTTCTAAAAAAAAATTTTAAGTAAAGGAAAAGTATATTTTTACTTTTTACTTAGTGTATAGATATATTTATAATTATTATTATCATTATCATTATTAAATATAGACTTTTATAGACTTTTATATTATTATTCATTACTTTTACTATAAAAACCGAGCTCGGGGACGTTGTTCATCAGCGAATAGTTTATAAAAGTTTGAACAGTAATAGAAGTTCCCGATAGGTCAAGTAGCATATCCACCAGCGATCGGCTAACAAGTTGGTAAAGTAAAATAAATATTAAAAAAAATTGTATTCATTAACAAAAGTTTACGGAATAAAAAAAAGTAATGAATTTATAATAATAAAGTTATAATAAATACTAAGAATATAATAAAAGTTAATTGTAACTATGATAAACTAAAATAGAATAATTATAATATTTAAAAATATGAAATAAAAATCAAATATAGTTAATTAATGAAATAAATATTAATAAAGTTATAATGAATATTAATAAATAATGAAAAGCAAAATTTATTTTTTTTTAATAAAAATAATATATAATTTTTATAAGTATTTTTTTTTATAAAAAAGTAGTTTTTTAGATTTCTCTACTAAAAAACTTTAATAAATCATATATAAAAAATTTATAAAAACCTTTTATAATATTTAACTTTAAATGAATACAAAACATAGTAATAATATAAACTTTCTAAGTTTTTTTATTTATAACAAAAATGTTTTTATATTTTTTTTGCTTACAAATATTAATAAATATAAAAGTTAATATATAAACTTTTACTTTCTATTAATAGATTATAAAAACGTAAAAAAATATTTATAACTAAAAAATTAATAAATAACTTATTAAAAATAATAGTAGTATTTATTTTTTATTTATAACAATAAAGTTATTAAGAAATTATAAAAATTATATAAATAAACAGTAATATAAAAAATTATTCATAATTTCCTTAAATTAATAATAAATAACATTAAAAAATTATAAAAGTTATATAAATAATAATTAAGGAATAAATTATTAAAAAAAATTTCTTAAATTAATAATATTATATAAAAAAATTTACTATAAAATATTAAAGTTAATATATTTTTTATATTTTCGTTAAAAAAACTTTTTTTTATAAACTTTTACTTTTTAAAAAGATTATAAATAATAAAAAATAGTCTTCATACTAATTATAAACTCTTTATAAATTTTTAAATTAAAAAGATAATTATATAGAAATAATCATGTTAATAAAAATACTTGTTATAACTTTTATGCGTTTTATAATTAAAAATTTAAGAATTTATTTTAATATTTATTCAAAAAAAATATTATTTTAATTTTTTTCTTAAACTTTTTGTTTATAAAAATATAAAAATATAAAAAATTACTTGCAAGTTGATAACAAACAATAACAGTATTAATAATAACAACTCAAAGCTCGTATTTATTAAGAATTTTTTTTTACTTCGCACTGAAACATGGGCCCTTAAAATAGTTATATATAATATTAACATAAAAAAATAATTTTTTTAAAAATAAAGTTTATAAAAAAATTAAAGAAACGATTGCGAATATGAAGATAATATTATTTAATATAATTAAAAAAGTTAGATAGTTTATAGTAAAGTTTAAAAAAATAAAAAATATTTTAAAACATTATATATAATAAATAAAAAGTTACATAGTTTATAATAAATCTTTAAAAAAAAAACTAAGAAAAGTAGTTATGAAAATAAAAAAACTATTATTCATAATAAAAAAAATAAGTTTGGTTTACGAATAAATAATACTATTTTTAATAATAATAAAAAGTTATAACTAAAAAAAAGTTGATATATTAAATAGTAAAAAAATAAAAATTATAGCCTATTATAAAATTTCTGAAAAAAAAAAAGATATGGTTTATGAATGTGAAAAAAAAGTTACATACCTTATATTAAAGTAAAAAAAAAAAATAAAAAATAAAGTTATAAGTATTAAGATAATATTTATAATAAAAAAATAAAATATACGAATAAGAAAAGAATAATGCAAAGAACGCAATATACAATAAGTCACGTGAAAGAGAAGTTTATAAGGAAAACAATCTAAATACAAAAAACAATAAATTAAGTTTTATTAAAAAATAAAAAAAAAATTATTAATTATTATTATTAAATATATAAATGTTAAAAAATTATTATATAATTTATGTATCCAAAAATAAAAAAAAATTAAGTTCTGATAAAAAAAAGAAAACATGCAAATATTGTAAACGCAATACATCTTTTTTAGTACATATAAATTTTTTATATAAATAAAATTATAAAATAAAAAAAGTTATTATGAAATCAATTATATAACAAAAAAGAAAGTAAAACAAATTTATTTAATATTATATTAATAGTAAAACTTATAAATTATTCTGAGGATACAAAAATAATATTGTATTCTTAATATAAAGTAACTTTCTATATGAATTAAGAAAATATAAACTTATAAGAAAATTAAAAAATAATTTAACTTTATAAGTTACTATTATTAGTATATTACGGCTATACAAAACTTATTTTTTTATATTATAGTAAATTTTATAAAAAAAAAATTTAAATATAATAAATAAATTAATAAAAAATAGTAAAGTACATAAACAAAAATATTTATACTTTTTAGAATTTTTAGGTAAAGAGTAAAAAGTTTTATTATAAATTAAAGAGAATATTTTTTAAATATAAGAAAATTAAATTAAATATATATTTTATCAAACCTTTAAAACAGTACAAAAAAAGAACAACGAAGATAAAAATAAAGCAAAAATTTTTAGCAAATTTTATGAAGTAATTATAATATTGAGTTATAATACACAAAGTTTTCAAAAAAAAGTAAAAAGCTAAAAAGTTATTTAAGAATCAAAACATGTATAAAAAATATAAAATATATCTAAATTAAACTAAAAAAAATAAAAATTTATAAAAATATATCAAATTAATTATAGATGCTATTTAAATTGAGTTATATAAAAATAAAAATATAAGAAATATATTGTAAAAGCTAAGTAAAAGTTAACAAAAAAAAAAGCGGAATAATATATTTTTATACTAAAAAAAATAAATGTTTGTATTATTTAGAAAATAGATTTAATTAAGTTATAATAAAAAAAATTATAATACAAAATAATAAAAAAATTACAATAATAAAATTTTAATATTTATGCCAAATATATATAACAATATTAATATTAATAACTATAATAGTTTGATTACAATTAATAGAAAAAAACATAATAAAAACTTCAAAATAAGAAAATTAAAAATAATATAAAGTAATAATTATTCTTGGTTAGCATAAATGATTAAAAGTAAAAATAAGAATAGTTAAAATTCTTTAAAACTTGAAGAAAGTTTATTTTATTTATAATATATAATTATAAAAATAAAATTATAATAAAGAATTAATAAAAAAAATAAATTTAATTTGATCATAAATTAAAGAAAGTTAAAAAATACTAATAAAATAAAAAACTATAAAAGCTAATAATAAATTATAAACAAATAAAAGAAACAACTCATTAAAGTAACAAATTAATAAAATTCAATTTTTGATCTAAAAACAAATCAAGTAATAATAATAATAACTATTAAGATTATTATCAACCAATCAAATAAAATAAAGTTGATATTATTCAAGAAAAAAATTTTAGTGAAATTTATAACAAAAAAGAAAACAAATAAAACAAAATAAATATAAATTTCAGTAAATCATAAATAATAATATTTTAAAATAAAAACATAAATTAAAAAAAAATAAAAACTATTAAAACTATCATAAAACAATTAAATTATAGATTTGATAGTATTAAGTAAACTAAATTTGATAAATGAAAAATAAATGTAATATTTTTAGAGATCTAAAAAAATTTGTGAAATAAAAAATATATATACAAACACTTAATATCATTATTATTAAAAAACTGAAAAAATTAAAGTTAATATTATAAAGTAAAAGAAATTTATTATAAAAAAAAACCTAAAAAAACAATTGCTCTTCCTTTTCCTATCAACCTCATTAGCTAGACTGTCTGCATCTTCATAAGAACAGCCAACCACTTGAAAGGCTTCAGTCACTTCCGTGAAAGAGTGGACCTCAAAAAAAATAATGAAAAATAAGTTAATTATGATCAAAAAAATTTTAATTTACTTATAAATATTTCACAGTAAATAGGAAAAAAATTTATAAATACTTTGAAAAAATAAACTTGTAGTAAATTATGTATCTACTAAATAAGATAAATTTTATATTAACAAAAATAAATAGTACTATAAAAGCCAAAAAAATTATCTAATAAAATTAAGTAAATTTAAAAAATTTATAAAGTAACATCGAAGGCAAACAAAATTAAACAAAATAAAAATTAATTTATATTTTACTAAAATGACAAATTAAAAATTAAATTTCAAATTAAACCCAAAAAGAACTCAACAAGAAAAAAAATTAATTACTTTCACTAACGCAAAACAGAATTAACTTCAAGGTTAGTTATATTAAAAAAAAAATTGAAACTATAAAGATTCAAGTAAATTTGGAACAGTAAATTAACTTACTTCATCGTTATAAACTGTAACACAAAACAAATCGTCGTTGTCCTCGTGAGAAAAAAGCCCTTAACAAAAATTATTAGCAACATTAAAAGTTATAAAAAAAAGATAACCGGCAAAATTAAAAGAATCAAGTTTACTTTTGCTTCTTGTTCTCCTGCATAATAAATTTTTTTATAAAAATTTTAAAAAATTTTCAAATTTCATATTAATTACTTTTGAATATATATATATATGTATTAATCAATTCACATAGTTAAAGTAAAAAATTAAATAAATTAAAAAATTCTATGATTTTAAAAAAAAAAATACACTTCTCTAACTCCTTTAAAATCAGTTATAGTAGAGTTTGCAGAAGATTCTGCTTTATAAGAATTTTGTTTAGCGCTGATTAAAGCATCGGAAGTCAAAATTTTTAATTCTGATAGAAATTTAATGTTGAAGCCCAAATAGTAGCACACAAACCTTCAAGTATTAAACATCAAATAATCTACATATTAAAAGAAATTTCTTTCATAATTTATAATTCAATTAAAAAAATAAAAAAAGCAAAAATTTAGTATATATACAACTATAATATATTACAATATTTCCATTTTGGAACTTGAAACAAAAAAATTAAAAGAAATTCTTTTCTATTTAAATTTCTTATAAAACTATTTTAATTATGAAAAAAACAAAACATAAAAAAAGGCAAAACTTAAGTATATATGTTATGATAAATTAATAATTTCTTTTATATAATAAAAGCTTAAAGTTTTCTAAAATTTTAAAAAATTTGTTGTTTTCAAAGTTAATAAATAAATATTAAATTCTGAAAAAAATTAATAATTACGAGAAATCTTATCCTTAAAAATGTAGAAGTAAAGTTTTTAAAAAAACGAAGATATATTGTCATTATTAAAATAGGAAGAAAAATAGTTCAATAATAAATAAAAACTTTAAAAAATATTTCATCATTAATAATAAAAATAATAAATTTAAAAAAATATTTTTTTATATGCACATAAAATCCGAAGAGGAAAAGCTAATTTAAAAAAATAAATGTTATAAAAAGTCATTTTACTTCAAAACTATTAAATTAAGTAATTATGTCAAAACTTGATATTCTCTAAAAAGAATTAATATAAATAAAATAATAACCTGACGGAGTCTAACAAAAAATCCACAACAGTGTCGCTAATTTCGTCATTGATATTACTGCGCAACGTATTCGTGTACTTTTTGGAATGAAGTATGCAATCTTTTTTATAAATATATATAAAGAAAACTAAATTGAGTATAATAAGAAAACTTGAGTAAAGTTTCCAGGCAACCTCCTGTACACAAATATTTAAAAAAAAAATTAAATGATTTTTAATGATTTTTACCCCCTACACTTTTATAAACACGAAATGAATGATTTTTATGTTCAGAATTATCAAAACATAGGGAACATAAAACGCATGTAGTATCCCGTTCACATTCCCTATTGTTAATAGAAAAAGTATATATTATCGTTTTTCACAAGTATAAAAGTGCGAACAAGCAACGATATATTGTGTCTTGATCATCAAATATTTTCTCACAAATATCCAGAACAACTTCATTTCTCAAATGAACTAAATAATTAGATTGAATTTAATATAATTATTATAGTTACACTAAAACACCTTTAAGCCGGCGTTTTATTTTGGCTAACGACTCCCCAATATAGAAAAGTGTCCACTTTTCCGCAAAGTTAGCAATAATATTATCTTCACTTACAGTACTAACTTTTTTAATTTCTGCTAAAGTATCCTAAATTTAATAATAACAGGTATAATAGTTTGACTTATAAAATTCCTAGTAATAATATGAGGACCTCAAGATACTTTCTTGCAAATTCGTGAGCACTAAAAGTTTTTAAACTGATAGTATCAGAAAAATTTTGCAATTTTTACTACATGTACCGTTGGAAATTTAAAACAAATATGTTTTTATTATAACAGTAAATATTAATAGAGTCTAAAGCGAAGTATTTCTACTCTGTGTAAAGATTTACTAAAACAGTGTTGGGCCAACAAAAAAGGTTGTATAAGTTGCTTAAGGTTTCCTGGAAGCCTCGAATATAACGTAACTACTTGGCATCTTTATTACGCTTCAATCAAACTTTGGATAACGGTGGATGTATATACAATAAAGAATATCTTTTTTACTTTTTTATTATAAATTTTTTTATAACAATATATTGTGTTATAATAAGGATTGAAGGTTGTACTGCTAACTCATTACTATGTTGTTAAATGATCCGTCTACTGAGTAGATTTTCTTTTTGTTTGAGGTTTCTATGAGACTATTTCTGACTATAAACATAAAAGTAATTAATAATAAAAAACTCATAAAACTTAGTGCAAAGTAACTCATAAACTTTATTGAGTCTAAAAATAATGTAGAATTATGTTAACAACCAAAATACAACAATCGTCAATCTTCTTTTTTATTTTCCCTATGAGTAACTTAAATTATTTGCGTTTTATGTAAAATTTTTTAATTCCGTCTCTGTTTAATAAACGATATCATTTCGACGAGCTAACATTCTCGACTTGTTCTTTTTCATTAAAAAAAAATAGGTAAGTAATAGTTAAGTCTCTGAAATCTGATATTAATCTACCACAGCGAACAGTTGAGTTTATTGAATAAGTATAAGAACATTATGTCCCTTAAAGTAAATAAAGTTGTACGCTCAGCGCTGAGGATGTACCCACCAACTGAGCGATGTTTTCCCCACTGGCAAACCAAGATTATTCCCCTACTAGGGTCAATACTTATCTAAAACAGATGGAGATGCACCTGATTCTCCTGCGCCATCTGATTTGCTCGGCGAAACTACTATACCTATTGAAAACTCAACTTATGGTACAGCTGAGGGTCCAAAAGACCGAAGTTAAAGAATTGTCTCGCGCTGAGCTAGTGTACAAGGAAATCCTAATAAACGATTTAAACTTGAGGATACAATCCAATGCACCCCTAATACTTCACTTAAAAACCTGCTTCTCTACCAGCTGAACGCAAGAAGCTTGGATGCAAGTGGGTGCTGATGGCGCCCTTAATAATACAAGAGTCACATCTGCGCTAAAGATTACACCCAATATAAGGGGTTGATTACCTAGATACTTTTAGTCCAGAAACCATCCAAACCTGTACTAATATCTCTATACCTAGCAGCAACGTTATATATGCAAGTGTGCAATTTAAGGTTAATGCCTTTATTATACCAGCAGTAACTAAGGAAATTTACACGAAAGCGCCTGATGATATTAACTAAAGCTGAACAGTAAAACGCTTTAAACTTTATTATATCGAGCAAACTAAAATCAACGCGAAATTTCAGCCAATCCTTTTAATTTTTCAGCAAATGCGCTTATCCAAAATTTAATAAAAATTTAGTAAATTTTAGTCTTCTTTTCTTATAAAATCCAATAGGTGGTGCTTGTGCTTTATTAATTGGAAAAGCTCCCAAATAATTGTTTAAATTTTTTTTAGTACTAAACCGTTAAAAGGATATAACTGCGTGAGTCTCGTCATATCAATACTTGGTCTGAAACAATCTTGCATGAAATGGAACGCGACCATACATAAAGATCTCCTTAACCACGGCTTCATCCAGTATCATAGCGAACCCCTGCATGTACCTCCTCAAGGGGTAGGATTCTCTCATTCTACTTTTTTTATAGGTATGATTGTTGCCTAGTTGTGTCCACCAGAAAGGAATTGAGCGGCGCGGTCATTTCCCACATCAAAGATCGAGGCGTTATAGCAACCTACTGGGAAGGGCAAATTGGGGCTCGCGAAGAAAGTCAGGGAAATACGTTACTGCCATTCGACAGGTTTAAGATGACTAATGTCAAGCCATTCAAGAATACTGGCGTTAATAATGATACCGGAATAGTCAAATATTGACTGTACAGCTTTGCAAATAGTTAGCCATTTCCTTGCTTTAGCTTTTAATTGATCTAGGCCGGATATAGCATTTGCTATGAATAGAGTGGCAGAAATGTATCTATCCCTACTATAGCGGACTGAAAAGTAGCTCGGCAGATCTTTAGATACTTAATTGATATGACGCAACGCAACATTTTCTCTAAGGGGTTTTAGCGATAGCGATTACGCTTTTTGCCTTAGAATCTAACGAAGTACGACAAAAATTGCATCCGCCTGAACATCATCAATCAAGCAGCTATTAGAATATGTCGCAGTTCAGAGCTTCAAGAAAGCTCGAAACACAAAGATGTCAGATACCTTCGCATTCGTGATGAGCTGAGGAGTAACACTCTGTTTGTGAATTATATTATTACAGAGAACAATATGACAGACTCACCAAATTTATTTACAATTTTCCTTGTAGATACATGCAGACACATGCTTTTCAGAATTAGAAGGGATTGTTGGAGTTGACTCTGATGAATCAAGCGCTCATTTCAAGTTACTGTGTCATTTGACGTGTTTTTATGTTTGTCTCACATTTTACTTTCTTCCCTGAAGGTATAAATACCCTTCCTCTGCGGGACAGTATATAATGCTCGCTTCTCTTTTTTTTCGTCCTTTTTTAACTACAGGAATTAGTACATAAGTCTTAGGCATGAAAACTGTTCAAATAAAAACCTTTTATTTCCTTAATCAATATTTGACTATTAAATTTTATATCGACCAAATTAAACTTTACTGTACATGGCAAACCGTCTAATACGAGAAAATTGTTTTACAAAGCTTAATCCGCAGATGCAATTGCAATCGTTCTGGTCCCTTAAACTAATAATTTTAACAAATGCAGGTCCTAGTTCTCTTTTTACGTTACATTACTAGCTCTTGGGGTGGATGAAGCCAAGAAACTATAAAAAGATAAAAGGGTAACAGATTATTAAAAATGTCTTACTAAAAATCGAAGGCCATTCAACGACCTTAAAGTTTTACGCTAACGTAAGCTTAGTGGACACAACGGGAACTTATAACAAAGAATGTAGTGTTGCGTGTTTATTAATGAACTCTAGAGGTTGTAAAGCCCCAATCACTATGTGCGTCCAGATGATAACACCTTGTGAGCCGGTGCTTTGAAGCGTGTGCCAGTTACAAACGAAATTCCAAGTAAAGCGCAGATCGAAGCCAAAAGCTGACGAGGCTCCTTAAGTTCGATAATGTCTGGTGCTGCACACTTGCAAATTTATTAATTACCGTCACAAAAGTTACGATAGTCCTTAAAAAGTTACAATATTATGAGGCGGGAACTTTAAATTTTCTAGAGCAGTAATGTAAGCGTCCACATTTCTCCTTCCATAAAGCAATAGAAAGCGTGTCAAGCAAGTTAATCATGAACAGCGAAATCGAAGAAAAACATAGTTTCATAGTAGTACTAACAAAATATGTCTACTACAAAAGGTTCAGTAAGAACAAGATATCGCACTTTTTATATGCTATTCTTCCTATTTTCTATAAAAGCGTAGGAAGCTCTGTACGTTTAATTTTGGACATTGTTAGCTACACAAATAATTATAATCGATTGACCCTGGAACAGAAGGGCCATACCGGCGTTGGACGAAGCTTAGCGGGAGACCCTTTCTTGGTGTAAATATTCTTGATTCCGGAATAAAGTTCGGATGGATAGCGTTAATCAAACGGCACAGTACCACGCCGTCTTGAAGACCTTCAAGCAGTTGACAGCCTTTTAAAATATAATCGTTTAAATGCAGCTTTGCATATCTAGAGAAATGCAAGGAAAACCATTTTCTATTCCGCTGACACGCCCGCCAAGCTCGTCCTCAATAACCTTGAACTTATAAAGGCGGCTTTCAAATAGGCCACCGCGTATCAACATAACGTACTATCAAAAGCTGGTTTAAAGACTTTTGAGTTTTCTCAGAATGACAAGTTTCATCATAAAAAAATGAGCCTATAGTTCAACGAAAGCAAATAGGAAAGGGTAGGCGCCTAACAAACCGGTAAAAAGTGCCTTCGTTTTCAAAGCGTTTTTTGGGTAAAATAGTGCCTTTAAAGTTAATGAGCTGTTCCGTCTTTGGGTCTGTACTCGCAATAAGTTTTTTTCCTTATTATAATTTTCAAAAAATAGTTACTAGCTTCAAAGTTTTTCTCTTCATTGCTACTGATAAAGAGTTCTGTATTTTCAATGGACTCCAGAAGCTCTAAAAAAGAGGTGTTCGTAAAAAAAAATGACTTAAAGGAGGAAATGGCAACGACCCTATAGGAGTAAACTACGTAAGTACCTGAAGACCGTTCTGTTTTTAGGTAGAGAAAAACATGCAAGAGACCCTGTTGACAAATTCTCGGGGGTGGAGACAAGATGGGAGTGCCTTATAAATATTAAACATTCGCCATAAACCCGCAGGTAATGCCTCTGCCCTCTGCGCTTACCTAAATGAAGAAAGATTTTTAAAGTCGGCTCCAAGCTAAGTATGTCAAAGGAAAGCATTTTTATTTCGTTGTGCGAAATGTCCAGTGTTTCAAGAGGGCAAAAAGTAACTGCTGGGTGTTGTAAATTGCCATAGCTAAAAAACTTAAAAGATAGGAGGACCAGGTGGAAGTTCAAGAAACCGGTTTTTTGCGAGTAACAGAATTCGCAATTTTTTCAAAAACTTAAAAGACTCGGGCAAGGTTTCCAGTCGATTGTTATTTAAATTTAACTCCATTAAATTTCCCAAATTTCCAAATTCTTTCGGAAGACTGGCAATAAAATTGTTACTGAGATCAAGTATCTATATATATAATAATAAAGAGAAAAAAAGTGAACAATTATAGTAAGCCTCATATACTATAGGCCTTTTAACCTAGTAAAGTTTTAGAAATTTAAACACTTTAGTACATTTAATTACATTAAAAACTTAAAATTTTTTTCTTTCCTTTAAGCTATATATTGAAAAAAGAGGATTAAGGTTAAGGTTAACTAAATTAAGTGGTCTTTTTCCGCAAATTAGTAACTTAACCGCTCTGCAAAGATCACCAAATGATTAAGAGAAGAAAACCTTCATAGTGTGTATAGCACAAAGGGTTGAAGGGAAAGAAATCAAATAGTTGCATCTTTATAAACAAAAATTGTTTTTAGAAATTAAAAATAAAAACAATGCTCCCTTAAAAAGGGATTTAAGCTTTTTTTATAGTAAAATAACATGAAAAAGTATGCAAAGTTGCTATATAATACCGGAGATTTAAGTGAATAAGACATTGTAGGCAACTCAAGTCAGGTATGCTTTTAATTTTGTTATAAGAACAATCTAGTATTTCCAAAATGCGGAAGCCGGCCACTTGTGTTGGAATCGCTGAAAAACGGCATTGAGAGAGATCTTTTATAATAGACCCAAAAAATTTATCATTTTTAAATAAAAAGGTTTTGAACAAAACTGACTTAGTTGCAGTATATCCTCCAAGGCATAAGGAATGACCTGTTTAAGAGGCCAATCTATTAAGCTCCCACAAGAAAGATTGAGGATACCCGTCTTTTGAGCCTCAATAAATAAATCACTAGTCATAGTTCATCGCTTTCCACTCGGTCAACTTTTTTAAAGTTATCTGAATTTTTTAGTACAAGAGCGTTACACTTTAGGTTTAAACAATTGTTCATTTTTACCTGAGCGAGGGGCGTTCCACTGTTAAAAAGTGCAGTTACCACAACGTCATTGATGTGCCAATCAATACCTCCAATCCTAATATAGTACAAAATCATAGGACAAAGAAAAAATTAACGGTAATATCCTGTATATCAATAGAAATTTATGTATTATCGTAGTATTTCTAATTCTCAATAAATTTTTTTTTTTCTGAACAAATAGCCATAATTGGATAAGAAATATTCGCATATCACCGGAAAACTGTTATATCGTATTTACTATATGGGTCAACTACTAGTTACCAATGAAAATGCAATGTTTCTTTTATCGATAAATATTGTTTTAAAGATTCCTCGGTAACTAATCTTGGAGGTTTAAAACTCTAATAAATTGCTATGAAGCATTTTTTAGATTAAAAGGCTGTAAAGGTAATTAGTTAATGCCATTTGACCTGAAAAACGTATGATTATTGCACTAGCGGACCATATATACAAATATCTACACTTAGTAAAAGGTATATGAAATTTTTCTCCTATTTCTCCCTTCTTTGCTTTGTAGTTGTTCATTTTAGTTTGCAGGGGTTAGTAATCTATTAAAACTCAAACCAAAACCAACAAAATAAACTCATTGTGATCTAAAGGGTTACTAATAACACCCAGCATTATTTGTTAAAACAAATATATTAACCACGGTGAGCTCATGGGAGTTCATAAGCAAAATTGCAAAAAAATTGGTCAAGGCTTACTCGACCGCTACAACATGGAGCTCGAGAATAGTCAAAGGAATAAAAGATAGCCCAAAATTTTAAAAGGTGGAAAATTAAGTAAAAAAGTTAAGGAATGATAAAAGAAATTCATAACTCGAGCTTCCTCTGAGTATAAAGCTATCCGCTTTTTTGGTTTCAATAGGGTTTATATCAGAAAGCGCTAAAGAGAGGTTTTCGATTAACAACGCGAGTTACAATAATTTGCTGGCAAACTATTTGATGCCAGAAATTTACGCTAACCTAAGATTCTTGTTGGAGCAAATTTATAATTGTTGCATGACAATACCTTCCCACATATGGTCTGCCTACTAGTGGAAACTACTAACCCTTTGGGTTTCAAAGTACTTAAGACCTCGCAAGTAGCCCAGGCCCTCGTCTTTTCATATTCCTCCTCTCGCTTAGGAACTCTTAAAGATGCTTTACTAGGTGATTAATTTTATAGGGAGAGGGCTACAGGAATTAGTGATTTAATGAATACTTTGATAGTGGAACATGCAATGTAAATATTTTGAAATTGTGCCTAATTATTTCTTATATGTGTTCTAGCAACCTCGATATCAACTATACTGCGACATAAATCTCTCAATAACCACTATACTTTCTAAGCCATTAAAAAAATGATGAAATTGCACCTTTGGCTAATATATTATCTAAGATAAAAATTGATAAAAAGATAAGTAAACTACTTAAAGCAACTAAATGCTTATCTTAATTTACCAGCGTCAACTTTTATAAGCAATGTTTAACCATATTGACATTTCTTCTTATTCAAAGCGCTGGTTATATTAAAGTCTTCTGTAACAAAAAAATTAACAATATTTTAAGGTGCTTTCTTTTGATTTAAGAGTTATTATTAAATAGTAACTTATTTATATGAAACTTCTTACTTTTAGTCACAAACCCGGTTTTTCGTTATTTGTTTTTATAATTTTTGCAAGTTGTAAATTCTTTTATATAGAAACTGTCTAAATTATTAAATGAAAAAAATATAAACTAAGATATACACTTACCTTAACTTGGCTATTATACCGCCCCCGTTAAACCCTGCAAACTCTGTTATACTTAATGCTAATAATTAGGCTATCAAACTAATCGTAAAGTAAAGCCTGAGATGGTTAATTACTTTCCTTCTGATTAAAAGAATACAATTAGACTGCTATGGTTGGAAGACTTACTTAGTTATTGTTGTTAGATTACCACTACGCTTAAATGGGGGCGCCTGTCTTAGGGAGTAGGACTGAAGCAGCGAGCCCTGTGTTACATTACTACTTTCACTCTCTAAATACAAAAAAAGTTTTTTAGAAGACCTTTTAAATTATAAAAAATGTGTATATAAATATTAGTGCGTGTTTACTGTGATTTAGCATGCGCTTCCTGTTACGATCCTCGAGATCTTAAGGTACCCTGAAAATAATAAGAATGGAATAAGTAGACTAATTAACTTTGAGCAAAGATATTTAAAAAACACTAAGACAGAAAACTGAAGCTAATACACAGTTATATTAAGCTGCGCACAGGAGGAAATAGAACTTAAAAAAGCTCGTAAAATAAAGATTGAACTTAGAAATGGGATGGAGAGTAGTGAGTAAGTGCAGATAACTTAGGGCTATATTGTAAAATTATATATATAAGGTAGTCAGCAGTGTGACTCGAAAAGATTTTTTTTTTAAACACCTGCTTGCATAGTGGCCTGCTTCTTACTTGGAGTAGCGTCGCTAGTCTAGTAAAGTTTATATATTACAATAGTTTCTGTACCAAATTATCTGTATTATACATTGATTACTAGAACGGATAATGCCAGTGAAGTGAAACAACGATAGAAACAGAAGCAATTTCCAGAGAAAATACCCAAAAGGCGCCTTATATAGGTTTGAAAGTTTTGAATATCTTTGTGAATCGCTAAATCGCAAATCTTAAATTTTCTGTCAGGTTAATGCATATTTAAAAATTACCACTTAAAGCAAGGGTCTAATACTCTGCAATCCCTGAAGGTAGGGCCCCGTCAGAATTTGTTATCTCGCGTACACATGGGCTTCTAGTTTGTTGTATAACAATTTCGTGTATATATATATTTTAAAATAATTCTACCCCTAACCCATATTATATATTTACTCCATTGAGCGGGTCGACGATAGCGTACGCCGGCCAAATTTCGTAGGTGATCTCATTTGTCAATAGCCAATTGGTGTGTAACCTGAGCCGATCATAGGTGGCGAGAGCATTTCGTCGAAAAACGTTACCCAGAGGTTCAATCTGGAGGTCTTTATGTTAGGCATCGAACAAAGAACGGCGAGCCCGTCATGAGTTTTAGCAACTTGTTTTGTTTTATTTGAAGTGAAGAGACTATTGCCGATGAGTTGTAGACCCAGGCAGTAGACGTGTATGTCATGATCGGTCGGATGCACCACAGATACTAGCGTCCTTTATTGTGCAGCGAGAGTTTGCTTCGGGCACAAAGTAAAAGGTAAAGAGTTTGAATCTCCGCCTCGACCTTCTTCGCGATATAGTTTACGTGCGGCCGCCACGAGAGCTTATTGTTCATAATGGTCCCCTGATATTTCGCCTCAGGACGACCAAGAAATTACCTTAACGGCGTTAGTGGTGCAGTGCACTTCTTTGTGATAGAAAGGGCTTTGCTCTTTTCCGCTATGTTAAGAAATTTTTCCACTGCGACACTAGTTGGTAAGTGACAATAGGTAGTACTGCAGATGCTAGCGTGGTAGGGCAGTTGGCTTTGGCGAGGAGTCAATCGCTGTGTCGTCGGCATATAAGCCCTCCGCGTGGGGAGTCGTCAGGCTGTGGCACTTCGCACACACAAAGTGCAAAGATTAGAGTTGATAAAAGAGATACCAGTGGCTGTTAGTGACCTTAGGGGTGAGCACGCATCGCCCACACCTTATATCAAAGGCACGGCCTTAAAGGTAAGCAAAGTAGGAAGGGCTATGGTGCGCAATTTGTGGTACAAGCCCTTGTGTCAAACTCGGTCAATAACGCTTTGTCGACTTGAAAAAAGTCGACTCCCATTGCCTTCTTTAAATTGAAGGCGCGGTTCGTTCACCCTAACGAGCGAAAGCAGGGCGTGGTTAGCGTCATCAAATACTTTCAAGCGGAGGAGTATGACCGCCTCAGCTCCCAACGGCTGACAAAAAACTACTAGGCCTGTATTTGCTTAATGTAGATGCTGGTCGTGGCGTCTTCGAAAGCACTACAATAGCTACCTTCTTTCAGCGCAATGGGAAGGTACCGAGAGCCATCGTAGCGTTAATGAGGCAGCATAGGCGCCCTAGCGACACCAGCGGTAATGGCTTAACATAAAGTTGGTGGTACCGTCGGGATCAGATGCCTTTCTTTAATTATCTCTACGATTTCAACTGAGGGGTATTAGCTTAAGCTGTACCACGTCATAGAAAGGAAGGTTAATTCATAATCAGGTGCACGCACTGAGTAGAGAGGTGATCAGCGAAAAGTGTCGCTTTGTCAGCGTCATTTTCCACTACCATATTGCCATCTCGCATAGTAGGTAATGGTAAACGCGCTAAGTTTTTGTATTTCCTTATAAAATCCCAGAAAGAGAGGGATCGCTACCGTTCCCATCCGATATATTAGTTATCTTTGTCTCTACAATTGGTTATGGTGCGCCAATAGCTCTCTCCTCAATGCACCGTGTAGTCTATTAAGCGCTAACTTATTTTCTGAGCCTTGTCACATCGAAGTCACTCGAATAAGAAATCACCGCTCTTATATATGGGTCTACAATTCGTCAGCAAGCGATTATGGCGGAACGCAAGTTTACGTGTTGTCGTGGCGGTGTGGTACGCCTCGAATTTAGCAAAAGCAACATCAGGTTCGGCGGGCCTCCTGAGTAACGCGGAGGATGTTGAAAAGTTATATCAAGAGCCTTGGAAAATAGGGCCCAGCCCGTTATAGTCCTTGTATACCTCATCAGTAACTCCTTTTCGTCGCCTAAATCAACAACTGACAGATGGTCCGATAAGAGTTAGTAATGAGCGGCCATTGCCGTTGAAATATGAATATTTTTCAAATCGGCGATATCTAATACGTCTGATATACCCTGTCTTCTCCAGGTGCGTTGGCGTTCGTCAGGGAAAATTCGAGGATTGGGCCGTTTGGGTTATCGACATAACTGTTCCAGGCGGGATGCTCGTAGTTAAGCCCTCACATACAACAACTGAGGAATAATTTATAAAAAGGGAATCAAAACCTGAAGTAATAAGTAGCCTGATGGAGGGCTTGTAAGCTAAGGGTAGGAAACTC